AATCTGAACTTTATTTCATCTTGGGACATGGCAGATTGTATGTGATCTGTGATTTTCTCTGCTTTACATTCACTTCTGGGAAGATCTGGAAGCCACCTTCAGAGTGCTGTCCCCAGCTTGGTGAAATTATTAGTAGAACAGGAACACATGGGTCACCGTAATGTAGCTGGTCTGTAACTTGCTTAGTCTACTTAGTGTACTGTGTTGTATAAATGATTTAACGGTACAGCTCATCTCCAGGAGGCAGCTGACTGTTTCCAAAGCTTCACCGTCATCTTTAGACTTCTAACCATGGTCTCCGCTCCTGTGTGAGTGTGTCCAGCCATAGTTAAGACACATCGTTTACCAGCTGTCAGAATGCACAGGAATGGTATTCTGTCATTACTCCAATGGAAAGTTTCTCATAATTAATCTTTAGTGACACTAAAGATTGCAGTGTGTTGACTTCTTCTACTCTTGCCTGTGTTTTCCAATATCAGATTTACTTAGAAAATTCTTTTAAATTTTTACATCCGCATTATGTTAGTAGCCAATCCAAAATCTATTTTTGAGGTGGGTGTCATATCTGCACTAACCAAAAATGAAAACAAATGAACCAGATATCTAGAAGATCAGGTACAAAATTTTGTAAAATTCAGGTGGTATTCAAAGACAGTACCAGAGACTCTGGCCTAGGAAATTAATAGATATATTTTGTATTTATTATGGGAGGCCAGTAAAGTACAAGCAATGAGAATCACTAGACAATAGATGAATGCATGTTCGCAGGGTTCTTCATTCAGAAAGGCTAGCACTGAGCATAAAGTGAAAATTAAACAGCTGAGGGACCATAAGAGTTCTCTATAAAACACAATCTTTTAATCAGATTAGTGTTGACTTCCTTTAAACCAAATCTACGAATTCAGGAGCTCACTATCTGGTGCTATTTAAAAATCATCTCACCTAACATGTTGTTATTTTCAACAGAAAAAATACAATCCTTTAGTCATGTATGTGGCAGGTATGGATTTATGTAACCTCTACTGTAGTCTCATCAAATCCTACTGCTTTTTTTTTTTTTTTGTCTTTTTTGAGACGTGGTCTTGCTATGCAGTTCAGGCTGGTCTTGAGCTCACTTTGTAGCCCAGGCTGGTCTGGAATTCCCAAGGATCCTCCGACCTCAGCCTCTGGGAGTGCTGGGATTACAGGCGTGAGCCACCACGCCCCCCTGGCTCAATCCTACTGCTTTTTGTTTGTCTGTCTGCTCACTGTAAGTCGTATGACACGGTCTCATCAGAACCACGAGTAACAAGTTTCCATGACTTAAGAATAGTCTAGCTGCTGATTTGCATTGAATAAAATAGACTGCAATGACTAGGAGATTTGTTTGACTAAGGATTTTAGTCAGGGTTTTTGACTCTAACCCAGAGGCTTCCTCACCACCACCCACTGGCTGTAGCAGCAACTGTGAGAACAGCTCTGATGGCAGCACACAGTTGTATTTGTGAGATGGAAATGCTTCTGTCAGCTGGGTGATAACGCAGCTTTCAACAGGAGCCGCTCCTAGATGGCAACTGGAGGTGAAAGCCACCACAGAGAGCACAGTACCCTTGTGCTTGTTACCCAGGGCTGCACTGAGACACGGGTGCCCAGCCCAGGCAACTGTGGTCTCACCCTGGAGTAATCTTAGCTGCTTTGTCTCTTTACGACATTGCACATAAAACTATAATGAAATTGAAGACCAAGGAAAAATTCAGATTCTTAGTTGCAAACGTCTGTAGCACTGAAGGTCTTCGTAAGGAGTCACAGTCCAGCTACGTGACAGGGACTATTTTTTCTTTGCTGTGCCCAGGTGTGTAATAGATTAAGTGGACTCATTAAATTCTAGGGACTTATGTTTGACTATTATATAGATAGAAACTCTATTTAAGAAAAACATTCTCCTATTGAAAAACAATTCAAGGGTGTCTTTAGGTGTACGTTCTCTTTGTAATATTGAAGAGCATAGTATTCCTGAATTTCTACTGAATTTCCTTCTCCCTGAAAAGTGCTGACTCCACCTTCAGATCACTCAACAGGATGGAAGAGGAACGCCCACTATATCATAGCTCAGGGTGCTGTGAGTAGGAAATAAGAATCATAGCACCGTAAAGGCCACGACTGCACAGAATGGCAAGTTGGTGGACTTGGGTCAATGCATCCTGCTGACACGGTGTCTGACTGGGTGGACTCATCAGGGCTTTCACACTTAATAAGTGGACACCTATAAATGTTTACTCACTGACAGTAGAAATTGAAACTGGGGGCTTTAGGAGAGCTTTGCAAAACCCTTGTCTGCTACCTTGCTGCATCCGCTGAAGCAGTTTGGTCTCAGAGAGAGTGGATGTGAACATGTTAGACACAGTCACTGTCTTTATGGAATCTTTACAGAATCTGTAAGAATCGGGAGGGCTCCAGATTCTGGCATGGTGGCAGAGCCCTGCCATCTCAGCACTGAGGGAGGGAGGCTGAGGCAAGAAGAGAGTGAGTGCAAGCCCAGCTTGGGCAACTCAGCCAGATCCTGCCCCAAAATAAAAAATTAAAAAGAGGCTGGGTGTGGGAAAACCCTGGGCTCACTTCCAGTACCAAGAAGGGAAGAACCTAACAGGAGAACTGTGGCAGTTACCCTGTGCACTCAGCACTGCAGGCCTCACTTCACATGATCCATTTCAGGGCAGAGGGTGTCACAGTCTCTGAGTTCTTTTCTTTACTAGTTCAGGTAAAGCACATTTTAAAAATGAAATTGGGGACAGTAAATAAAAGTAATTTTCCAGGCATTATAAATCCAGGTTGGAGAGATCTGTAAAGGAGTGGAACCTATTAACAGAGAGAAAGTTTTAGTTAGATCCCAGAGGTGACCGGTTAACTTCATGTAAGAAACAGCAACAAATTAATTAGTGTTCCATTTACTTATAGTGGCAGACAGCTTATAAACGTAATTTAAAAACTCCTTATTTATGGCTGAAAATATTGACTCCATTATTTCTCAGAGAGAAACATCTCAACTTGGAAGTTGATAAAAAGCAACAAAATTATATGAAAATGATATCTTTTTAGCATACACAGATTTTTTTTACTGAAATTTTGCCAAATCCTGATTGAACTGAACTAAGCTATTGATATAACCAATATAAATGTGAAGTCAGGGTACATTACTTAAGTGTGAATAAACATTGTGGTGAGGCTTTCCAGAGATTAGCAAACTACAAAGCTTGTCTGCAGATGCAGTAAGCCAAGTGAGGACCCAGGGAAATGCTCACACTAGACCACAGTCCCCTGGGCTAGCACTCAGCAGTGACACCCACTGGATGTTATCAGCTGTGAGCCTCCTGAGGATGCTCAGGAACCAGGACTTCCAGAACTCAAGTGGCAAGATCATGGCGGGGAGCAGACAATGACAAAAAGCTATGGGGATAGTGTGCTGGGGGATAATTGTGTTGAGAGGGGTTAATGGCAATGTGACTTTTAGTGTGAATTTTTAAATGAAATTCATAGTATAGTTTGAACCCACCACATATAAACCAGTGGTGAGACAACCCAGGAAAGAGGAGGAAGGAGACACATTCCTAACACTTTGATCGGTCTCATAGTTAGTTCTGACAGCTTTCTACTTTTCATATGAAAGGTCTGTGAACCTCTTCTAACTGTAGGAAGCTTAACATGAGTTTGTCTGTTCAGGAGCCCTGTGAGCAGTGCATAGAATACTCTTTGGAGTGGATATATTTCCATGCCTTTGAATCATTTAGTTGTGAGATACTTGCAGGAAAACTGTTGCAATAAATCTAATTCTACATAAATGTGTATATACCAGATATATTTAAAGCTATTTCATTACCATTAAGAAGAAAAATGTTAATAAAAGAAATTACATGACCTCAAAGGAGACCGATAACACTCACATTGCCAGCTCCTGTTGTAAAATAGGCCACTGAAGAGCATAATGTTAGTCTTGTGCCATCTCCATGTGCAGTCAGATCCATAGTGCACTAGATTTTTACAGGGCTCTCAAGAGTTAAGAAAAGGATAAAAATTCTTATTTTTCAAATAGCAGCTGATTATATCTATCTTTGAATTGAGATATACAAAGCAAATATTTAGGGTTAGGATGAGACAGACAGAAGTCCACACTTTATCTTTTTTCCAGTCCTGTAAGCACTTATTTGTTATATAGGATAGTGAGTATCATTTTGGCATAACTATCTTCCTGCATCATGCATTTTGCTTATTTTCACTTTCCAGTGATACCTTCCCCTTCACTGTCTTTCTGCTTCTTGGAGACTCTCTTCTGTATCCCTCTCCTGTCTCTTTTGAAGATGCTCTCTCTGCATTCTACATACAAAAGGAAACATGCTCTCCGGCTTTCAGAGTCATCATGGTTCACTTGTGATTGTGCTTCTGGGAACTGAACCCAGAGCCTCATGCTCACTAGGGAAGCAGCTTCCACTTAGCTGACACCCAGCCCAGAGTTCAGATCTCCTCAAGAGAGGCTGGAGCCTAAGACTGTTCAGTTTTATTAGAAATCTAGAGGCAGAAGCACAGATAATAGGGGGAAATTGTTGTAAACTGCTTTACTTATTCAACAAGATGTCACTTTGGAGTGTTTGTGATGTTCTGTGAAACTAAAACGCTGTAGGTAAGAAACAAAGATTGCAGATTCCAAGAAAAAATACCCACAATAATTTCCTGTCAGCAGGCTTTGAAAAGGTGAACTATGGGTAAGCAAATTTTTTATTGCCTCTTGTGAATTGATGTGATAGGTGAACTTGGTGGAGGATGGTTCAAATCTACACAGGGTCAGCGCGGCAAGGAAAGTATGATCCTGTGCCTTTGATTTAGGTTTTGATGCTTTTTCCTGACTCAATTATTTGCTAGTTTAGGCTTTAAATTACTTTTAATAATATATGTTTAAGTCCTAATGAAAAATGAAACAAAGACATATTTCTCCCAAGAATATTATAAATAAGAGAGAGCTTCAACTTGGATTAAACTTGATATTTGTATTATAATTGCTTGTAACAACCTTTCCAATATAATAAACTGAATTTAGTGTTTCCATTAAAAAGAACAGACCTTTCCAATGTGATGACATGGTATGAAATAATACATTTCAGTCTTACAATCATGATGAAAGTAATATTAATAGACTTGGTAGAGAAGTGAAAGGTAATTACAAATATGGATTTATTCCTCAACGAGCTTTCCCTGTCATCCCTGTACAGCTGGTCCCATGTGAGCAGTGCCTGTCCTGTACAGGATGCTGACGGGATAAGGGAGGATGAACCCAAAGAGGAGCCCATAAAGATACATTTGGTCAGTTAAAAAATTACACATGGAAGTGAAGGGTGAGCAAACTGAAGGGGCAGTGGCTGTATAGGACACTTTTCCTATGTAAATGAGATTCATTGTCACTGTGCTGTCCCACACCGAAGAGATCACAGTGCAGATTTCAGCTCAGACGTGGTCAGGAAGACAAGAACATCTGACATTACCATCAGGAAGCCAAGGGAGAGAAACCCTGCTCCTCTGCTCTAAAGCTTGGTGAGAAACACGTGGCCTGATCTACTGAGAGAAGCAGCCAGCTCTTCAGAATCTCATGCTCAAGTCACAGAGAAGAAGAAGATGTTGCATTTCTCAAACCTGACAAGGATGAAAGTATGGGGACGCTGGGGTACGGGGTGGGCAGTGGAAATGATCAAATAACGGGAATTTTACTTATTTTTCCTCTACAACTTCACGGCTGGGGTGCTGTGTCTTTTGGTCCATGGGGACGAGTCCTGCAGAAAGGTCTTCAGGTGTGCTCTAAGGAGATCAGCTTCATCTGGGGATCACACAGGGAGAATGGTCAGAGCAGAAAAACTTCCCCAAAAGACATACGCAGTGAAAATAATATGGCCTCAGGGGCTGAGTGAATTTGGCTGCAAACCTATGGAGTACGCTTAATTTCTTGACGTCAGAGAAAGAAATCAATCCTTCTTCATATTGCAAAAAATTCCCCACTACCAAAGGAGGACCTTAAAATCATGATGGGGTACAAAAAGAGCCTGGTAATTATTATCTTTCCTCTCAGTGCTCTAAAAACCATTCTCAGGATGAACATCCTTGTAATGTATTTGCTTGTTAACTGAATCCAAGCACAGCCCTATAATCCAATGTTCATTGCCTCCTACTTATACCTCCCAGTAATGGCAGCCAGAAGAGAATTTGTTCCTACCTGGCACAACTTGGAGAGAAGCGTATCTTCTACGGTATTTAGGAACAGCTTGGTCGCCTAACAAACCCTGAATGTGTTTCTCACCATCTGACCCTGGCAGCAGAGGGTGAGCTCTGTCTTCATCCAGAATTATGTCTTCTGCAATAAAAGGGAGAGATCCGTTACCTGTCGGCCTTAGGAAGGAGCTTCTGGTTCCATGAGCACGGGCTGAGGAGCACACTGCAGGGACCCAGGAGTCCTTTCCACAGCCCAGGCCCTGAGCCTGTCCCACTGCAGACCTGGAGATCTTTCCTTCCACAGAAATTTCTTCAAAACCCTTTAGCTCTGTCCCTGATCTGTGCTGTCCTATCGGAGGATCCCAGAACACGTGGACACCCACCAGAGAAAGGGGTTACCGAGTCTGATGCTCATGAGGCTTCCCAGGCCCTCACACAGGGGCACCGCATCCACAAGGAGAGAGGAAAATGGCCCCAGAGGCACGAAGACACATCAGCACTGGGTAGTGGGGTCAGGACGTTCAGGAGAGTACCCCAGGTAGGGGGGAGGGGAACAGAGAAGTAAAGGAGGAGGGGTCAGCAAAGGCAGACTGGGCAGGGAGATTGTCTTCAAGGCTGGACCTTGGTTAGGGATAATGGGGAGAAGTGAGACGGGAAGCATCAGAGAGAATAAAGAGTCCCCACTACTTAGGAAGGCTCTCTGTAAAGAGACAGGAAAAGCAGTGTAACAGGCAATGGAGAAATTCACCCCACACCATTCCCTGCTGACCGCTTTCCTCTGTAGGAGAAAAGCCCTTGCATATGCAGTGGGGACCTGGGGCTGCAGGGAGTGAGGGGAGGGGAGCCCTGTCCTGTGCTCAGGGGTCTCATGGGGTCCCCAGGGCTCTGGAGCTGCTTCCCAGGTCAGGGAGGTTCAGGCCCTGCTCATAACCTCACAAATCTCACACACACACCACTACCACCCCCCCACCCCCCACCCCACGCCCTGAGGCAATCTCCCTGCACCCAGGCTCTGATCTCAGTTAATTTCAGTTGATCTCAGAAAAATAAACAGAACTTACCAGGTGTCATGGTTTATGTTTGTGTCCCCCAAGCCTCATGAGTTTGAATTGTGCATTTGTGATTGGTTCATTGTCTAGTGCTTGGATTGATTGTGTCAGTGCTCCACCCACATAGGGGTGGAACCAGGATGTGATGTAATGGCAGGAAGAAGGTGTGTCTTGCTCTTTGTTGGTTTGAGTTTTCTGTTGGCAGCTGCCATGAACTGCAGCCCAGCCATGCCTGCCTGTCTTGGAGCCAACTGAGTGTGGACTGAAACCTCCAAAAACTGTAAGAAATAAACCTTTCCTTTCCCAACTTTGGGCTTCAGATATTTTGTCTCAGCAATGAGTAAAAACTAACTAAGACAGAAATTTGGTATCGAGGAGTGGGGTCGTTTTCTGTGACTATACCTGGCCATGTTTTTCAAGAGGCTTTGGAAATGGCTTGTGGGCAGAGTTTGGAAAGGTTTGGACATGTCGCCTGGATGCAAAGAGCTGGAGCAGCTTAGGCTGTTCTGTAGAGCAGATTCTGGTCAGAGCTCAGGAGACCAGAAGGCTGATAGAAAGCCGGATGGTAAAGACCAAGCTTGGGAGGTTTCTGCTGGGAAGAAGGACTGTACTGGTCATTGGACTCCACATGATGTGTGTTATGGCTTGGCAGAAAGTTTGTCTGCATTTTGCTCCTGCCCAGAGACTTTGCCTGAGACTGAGACAAAGGGCAATGGACTGATTAATCTTGAAAAAGAAATTAAAAAGCAACCAAATGTTGAGGCTGTGGCATGGCTATTGTTGGCAGCTTTTAGCCAGCTATGTGTTTCAAATCAAGAGCAAACAGCCCGGCAGGATAATTTACAATGCTGTGAGTTTGGCCAGAAGGAAAATTCCAAGAAGGCTGTAGATTGTAAAGACAGAGTTGAGATTTTGATTCCTGCGGAGAAACAGAGAGATAAAAAAGATGGCCCTGGGGCATCCCAGGAAGCAGGTCCCCACACTGTGCAGCCTCACAGCAAAGATGAAAAATTTTGCTCAGAGGAAAAAGCTACAGAGTGCCAAGCTCCAGAATAGCAACAGAGGCCAAGTGAGGTTCCAGAATGGTGACAGAGGCCATGTGAGGTTCCAGAATGGTGACAGAGGCCACGTCAGGTCCCAGAATGGTGACAGAGGCCGCGTGAGGTTCCCGAATGGCAGGAACACAGAAAAGCTTTTCGTGACAATCGGGAACACAGAGCCCTGCAATCCAGGCAACTGACCCCTAAAGCCAAGAAAGAGACTAGTCTGGCTACTGTGTCAGCTAGCAAACCTTGACAGCATCCACAAGGTGCTGATTTTAGGTGCAAGGAAAATGCACAAATTCTGAGGGTAAGACTGCTTCCACCTCGATTGCAAAGGGCCTGGGAGGCCAAGCAGTGTGCCCCTGAGAGGGCAATTTGTGAAGATGTAAGTGTGAAGCCGAAGGTGCAGTGGAGACCCCAGAAGTTTGGAAAAGCCAGGAATGTGGATGATCCAAGGAAAGCTGCAAAAAGCGAGCAGAGAAGATTTAAGAGAAAAGCTGCGGGAGTTGAAATCGCCAGAGGTGCCTTGAGGGTGAAATCACCCAAGCCTTTTGGAGCTTGCAACCAGATTGCTTCAAATGCTGAGTGTGGAACTCTAGGACTTAATGTTTGCCCTGGTGCATGTTGGACTTGCTTTGTTTCCAATGTTTTATACTCCCCTGTTTGTAACTTTTGGAATGGTAATGTTTGTCTTGTGCCTTTGCATTTCAGAAATGTTTAACCTTGTTTCATTTGTACAGGGGTTACAGTTAAGAGTTTGCCATAGATCTATCTTGGAGGAGACTTAGGACTGTTCAGCAATGCTGAAACTTAGGACTTTGGCAACTCTTGGAGGTGGACTAAATGTCTTTTCTATAAAGGATGTACATGAGTCTTGGCGGCCAGGGGTGGAATGTCATGGTTTATGTTTGTGTCCCCCAGGCCTCATGAGTTTGAATTGTGCACTTTTGGTTGGTTCATTGTCTAGTGCTTGGATTGATGGTGTCAGTGCTCCACCCACATAGGGGTGGAGCCAGGATGTGATGTAATGGCAGGAAGAAGGTGTGTCTTGCTCTTTGCTGGTTTGAGTTTTCTGTTGGCGGCTGCCATGAACAGCAGCCCAGCCATGCCTGCCTGTCTTGGAGCCAACTGAGTGTGGACTGAAACCTGCAAAAACTGTAAGAAATAAACCTTTCCTTTCCCAACTTTGGGCTTCAGGTATTTTGTCTCAGACGAGTAAAAACTAACTAAGACACCAGGTTCTTTAGTGATTCTCCCTTTAAAAAAAAAGGCAAAGAATATTAATTTTTGTAACCACAAGAATGTTACCCCAGCCCTTGTCTTGGTATGGTTTGTAGAAAGTTTTGGAATATTTGTTCAGCATTTTGCAGTTGGAAACAGAAGCACAAATGGCCAGGGGTCCTTGATTTCCACACAGGACATCACTGAACTTGCTAAGAATCTGACTATGACTATCACAAGCAGCTTGTTACAGCTAACTTTTTACTCCACTAGTTCTGTTTACATCTTCAGGACATTCCTGAGTTAACTGCAAATATTTCCTCTCTACCCATAAAACATTAACCATGGTCACGCTCTAGCCCAGAGCTGCCTGTGCACTGGGACCTCAGGAGGAGCCAGGGGCAGGCTCTGCTCTCCCAGGGTGACCTCTGCAGACCTCTATAGCCAAGGGCTGGGAGCTCCTTGGGACACAGAGCAGAAAGGGGCCTCCGCATCCTGGATAGGGAGTTTTGTTTCATTACAAACATTGTGCCTTAAAAGACAAATGAGTTCATAGGTTTTAAAAATCAAAGGGAAGAGAAAACATTTCACTAGTTTCCTTTACCTACATAGAACCACTTGAGTTATCCTACACATATATTCAGAATATTTTTATTCCACAACAAAAGCATTACTCAAAAATTCTACCTTATAATTTGTCACATTCGCTTAAATGGTAATTTTACAGACTTGCTCATAAAAATCAGCACAATTTTGAAGCATCATTGAGTAGCTAAATCACCTTTTCTTTCATTAGTAATGTATACTGAGCTGGTACTTTCATGGCACTCACCTAACAAAGCTTTCCCTTATTGTGATAAAATTAAAATAAATAAATAAATAAATAAATAAAACATTTAAATTTTCATCTGAGAAAGCCATAAGATGTAAGTAGTAGTCTTGTGATCAATAAAAGTGCAGAGTTAAATAGTGTCTCAATATAAATATCAAAGACAAAGCAATAAATTAAAAACAGAATGAAACATAGAACCATTTTCTTGACCCAATGTCACATAAGATCCAGTCCCATTATAAAGGTGTCCTGTGATGTGCTAGAGATCATTACTGAATAGGAGCCCGGAACTGGTGCTGAGGACACGGTGGTCTCCTTGTCAGGAGGGGCACGGTCTGCAGATGCACAGCCAGAGCAGGGCCCACCCTTCACCTCCTCCCCACCTGCTCCCTCTCCTGCCCCACCTTGGATCCCACCAGGCAGTGACCCAGCCTTACCAGAGCCCTAGGACGTTTTCTCTCCTCCTGCACCACCTCAATAAGGTTCTGAGTCTTCTGCAGTCACTTCTCCCCAGTGAACTTTAACCACAAGTCAGTGGACTCCATGGCGCAGTCACATCAAAGCCCAAGCCATGGGGTAAGATTGTTAACCTAGCTCCACTCACAGCCTGCAGTGCTCTGCACCCCTTGGCAGGTAAATCAGAAAACCTTGAGTGTGGGCTGCAGCGATCCTCAGGATGTGCCCTCTGTACACATCTCCACTCTCATCTCTCCTGCCAGTTCTTCATTATCTTTCATGTAATATTTACTGCTTTTAGTAGGAGACACAAGAGGAAGCACTACTTATTCTTACCGATATTGTGATTATGATGTACAGTTTGTCACATGATAACTTTGACAAATTAAAATATAATTATGAGGAGTGTGAAATGACTTTTCCTTTTAAGAAATTGTTTTACATAAATTATGAATTTAAAAATAGTTGAATTATTTCTTTCTGATAGCTGTGGTTTTATTGTGTGGTGAATTCTAAATTCCCTTTACTGAAAACTCACTTTACTTCAATTTCAGGAGAAGAATCTTAGCATAATTATGGGGAATGTCAACATATCCTTGCAGAGATTTTCATGTTAGGATTAATGTGGTCAGAGATCAATTCAGTCTGGATGGATTTTTATTCTGTGGTCTAATTTAGAGGATGTTTATATTTAATCAATAATCTGTCTTGTGAGAAAAGATTTATTCATGGTTTATGGAGTCATGGTTTATGTCTGTGTCCCCCAGCCCTCATGAGTTTGAATTGTGCATTTGTTATTTGTTCATTGTCTAGTGCTTGGGTTGATTGTGTCAGTGCTCCACCCACATAGGGGTGGAGCCAGGATGTGATGTAATGGCAGGAAGAAGGAATGTCTTTTTCTTTGCTGGTCTGAGCTTGCTGTTTGCAGCTGCCATGAACAGCGATCCAGCCATGCCCACCTGTCTTGGAGCCAACTGAGTGTGAACTGAAACCTCCAAAAACTGTAAGAAATAAACCTTTCCTTTCCCAACTTGGGCATCAGGTATTTTGTCTCAGCGATGAGCATAAAGTAACTAAGACAGATGGAAAACCTGAAACTAAGTACAATTTAAAAGTTAGACAAGGAAATCAGTGTTACAAACATCATCATACTTGCATCTAGGTCCAAGGTCAGAATTTTTCTGATGTCTACAATGGGAACCTGATATACGATATCTCTTGTAGTGATGTTCTTGTTTCTTTGTTAAGACAGGGTCACATCCTATAATCCAGTCTGGCCTTGAACTCACAGCAATCACCCTAACTGAGCCTCTTGAGTTATGGTATTACAAATGTGTGCCATGCCTTGCCCTTTCTGTAAGTTTTTTTGTGATGGTAGTTTTCCTTAATTTAATTTTAAATGATGCTTTCTCAGGGGCTGCCTGAACCTGGAGAAGCAGGGCTTTGGGAAGCAGGGCTTTTCCTTTCTAAGAGGAAGGGCCCTGGGTAGCCGCCTCCTTGCCTCAGAGGGAGCAGCCTCAACAGGCCCAACTCAGGGTCCCCAGCTCAGGAGAACCTGGAGTAGACAGGGGATGGTCACCTGGGTAAACAGGACACGGCTCTCTTCTGTGTCCTGCAGCATGTGGAGCCTCAGTGGGGACACTGAGTGGGGGAACAGTGTCCCAAGCCTCCTTGGAGCAGGGGCAGCCTCTCCTGTACAGACCAAAGCCAGAGGCACTTTGGGATCTGCACTCATGGAAAATGTAAAATTTAAAGAGCAGATTGACCTCATTCTATTGACTATTGTGATAGAATCCTGGACCACATAATTAGTGATTGACACTGAACTGTGGTGACCTCTAGCCCAGTAACTAATGTTGCTCTCCTTAAATGGACTACGCTGTCGTTAAATGGGCTCTGCACTATTTAATTTATACATTGGTTAACAAATACACTTAATGCCCCTGAAAGCCAAGAACAAAATAGGGTATAACTATACCTGCATGGTGTTTAGAATGATTAATTCAGTTCTCAGAATATCCTCTTTTCAGAGGATTCCTGCCTGATTCTCTCTGATATTTTTACCCCTTACAAAGGCATTTGTTCCTTATTCAAGGAAAAAGTGGCCTTTTTTATAGAGGTAACCATCAGTTATTGAACATTTGAAGTATGACCAATATTGTTTCAGATTGATCAGAGGTTTTCATGGTAATATGATGTTACACTTCCGGGCATTTGCCTACTTATGAATTCTTTCTTTTTTTTTTTTATCATTTTAAAGGAAAATCATGAAACAGAATTTCAAAACAAGATAAGAATAATAAATTAATAACTAATATATTGCATATTGTGATCTTCAAAGTAGTTACACCTAGTAGAGGATCTAGTCCTGTGTAAACATTGTATAGTCTCAGTAAGGGGAAAAGCAGAACAATAAACAGGATCAAAAATGTACTTTTCTCGTCAGTCACCTGGCTGACAGGCATCTCCTCTGATGAAAACATAGCACCCCCTGCTGCAGGCGGCGCCTCCTTGTCCATGCTGGTCCTCTCCTTTATGTTCACACCCCTGCCTCAGCTCTGAGCTCAGGTCCATTCCCATTGCCTTGGCCAAGCCACTCCGCCCTCTAGCTCTGCTCTCACTATTTTCTCCAGGAGCCCAGTAATTCTTCCTACCCACAGCCCTTGGTAAAATACTTGTTTTGAACTTATTTCAAAAGCGTAAAATTCGCATCTATCTCCAGGTGACAGTTACCTCTCTTATTCAGTTCATCATCAATCATGGAGCAGGCAGTCAGTGACTTTATGAAGAAAAACCCAATGATCTTTATCAAATGCCATGTGGGAGACCTCTGGTCCTGGTCCATGGTTTAAATAACTCAACTTCTCTTCAACACACACTAACAACCTTCCTTATGCAATAGGTACATTTATTTTGTGAAAATTAAAATGGAATAGTTTAGTTGTCTCTGAACAATATTTCAGATCAAAAAGAGTCATATAAATATGTGCAGATTTTTCTTTTTCTTAGCAGAATAAAAGTACATAATGTGGACAACCACTTGATTTTCAAGATTCACATGCTGTCTATGAGTGCCCATTACTATGCTCCTGCATAAGGAATAAAGCAAAACAGAACTGAAGTTGGCTACCAACTTTCCTTCTCTTCTTGCCCACGGGGAGCCATTCCATCTCAGAGTTTTCCCCATTTGACCAAAAGGGCTTTCAGCCCGAACCTTGGAAGTTCAGCACTGAGGGGCGCAGAGATGGGCTACTGCTTCTCTGTAGTTAGGACACAGACTGAAAACATATTGCAGGCATAATGTGCTTGTTGGAAAATTTCATAATAATAAGGGTCTCTTATTTTTTTAATTTTCAGAGTGATACATCCCATATCTGAGAAAATATGTGAGCAGTAAATAATAACCAATTCATTCTTCTCAGAACATTCAAAGGATTTTTCTACAATCAGTCTGAGCATTTTTGGTTCACCCCCATTGCATGTAGTGGTGGCCTAGAAAATATGGAGGAGCATCTGGAGTAATGAGGGAGGCTCTGCATCAGGGCACAGAGAGAGTATCCTGTAGTCCACCTCAGCCCAGCGAAGGGTATATCATGGATGTGCAGGTTGAACCACCAGTCTTCTAAGCTTCCTCTGTGCTAGAAGTATGATCCACATCTCCTCAGTTCCTGACATGCTTAGGCAGAGTTCTGATCCTCACCCTAACATATTTAAAGGCTGCACACAGACCTCCAGGATGGGACCATGAGTTCATCTCCCACTGATGCTCATGGAACCCCAAGGTGACAGGTGCTTGGCAGCAGAATTCGGGCCAATTGGGGGTCCCCAGTCCTTTCTAATGAATAATCCTAAATAACTAATCCCTTTACATGTTTTAGCAACATGTGAACGAAAATGAGCTGAGAAGAGCTACTTTTAGAAGCCTATTAAGTAATCATCTCATATATTTCCTGTATTTATCTAATTCATATAGTAAATAATTTGCTAAAAATTCCTCCCCCTAGATGTGGCTAAGTTAGACTACACTCCCTCGAGCGACACAGGCTTTAGCCTGGGTTTATAGAGCAGTCAGTATCCCACTGGGTCTCGGCAGGCAGCAGCCTCATTACAACTCAGCTTCACCCTCCAGAGCAACCCTCCTCACATGAGGGGGACCAGGGGACCCCTCCAGGGGACCATCTGTGCAACCCGTGAGTCCCTCACCCCTTCCTTCAGGTCTGCTCACTCCTCTCTCCTTCCATGAAGCTGCTCAAGTTGGAGCAGGCAGAGGCTACTGAGGGGAAGGGCAGTGCCTTTAGTTACAGGAGTTTTAAATCAGGGTAATTTTCAGCCCACTTGTGGTCTATCACTCTCCTTTTTTCATGTGTGCGCCCTGATGGAGCTGAGTCTCATGGTCTCCCCTCAGAGCTCTTACTCCTCCCCTTTCTCCTGAAGTCAGAGGGCATCTAGCTGCATCCATGGCAGCCCCACCAGGCAGATCCTGGCCACATCTACTCACCTAGGCACAGCATTCCCAGAGGAGCCAGCAGAGCCTGAGTTTCAGGTCAACATGATGTCACATAATGTGAATATTAATTGTAAGAAATCCGAGGTTTTGTGAAAATTTTGAGCCATGCTATACCTATTCCATAATCCATGAAACAATAGAATTTAACTTTATGAGAAAGAGAAAAATATAAATAAGAACCACACTGTCAGTTAAATGCTACTTGCACATTAGGCATCCCTGAGCTGGGCACTGAGCCAGACACTTTAGACAGATCTGGTAGCAGTGATGAGGGACACCTGGCCTTTCATTGGCAAGGGCACAGAGCTCCATGAATGTGACAATGAGGGATGCATGGCTGTGGGCCTGCGGTGCACTTGGAACCCTCCAGCATGAGGATCACTTGGGCCCTGTGGGGGAACTACAGTCACTCAAGAAAGAATCAAGAAGAGGGACCAAAAGGAGAAAAAACACAGAAAATCCCAGATTAGATCAAGTCCAAGAGCCAAGAACATGCAAATTGAGGATTTCTTTCTCCTTAGGATCCTCTTGTTGAATTTATGTGAGTAAGGTTTTCTTTTACTCTTGACTTGTATATAACGGTTTTCCCATGATCCCTCCATGAATGAGTCAACCCCTACTGTCTCCCCTTTACCTTGGGCTCTTCTGCATCTCAGGAGGGGAATAGCAGTGATCATCAAGGTGAGGACCAAGAGCACAGCCAGTGCCACTGTCGAGGTGTTGACTCGGGGGAACAAGGCCTCTGGAAAACAAAAAGCAGCTTTTGAGACTCAGCTGGACACTGGCTGACCCGGTGCTGGGCTCCAGTCATCAGATGGTTTCCCCAGGGAGAAAGCAGGGCAGGGATGCTGGACCTCAGCCCCCCTGCAGCTCTCAGGAGGGCTCTGAGGGCTCCTGGGTCCCTGATTCCCTGATGTGTGAGATCCAGGAGGGCCTGAAGAATTTGGGAAATCCAGGAATACACAGGATATGGAAACCAGTGCAGCAGATACTCATGCATCTACATCCAGACTGAATACTGTGTTTATATATGTGACAGGCGACAGTGTTAATACACCAAAGGACACTCAGGGCACGAGACTCTTCTCCTCACTCTCTAAGAGAACCTGCCCTGCTCCTCTCTGTCCACTTATTTCCTCGTGTGCACAGCTGTGAGCCCAATGCTATGCTGAGGACACAGGGGGAGACGCAAGGTGGGAAGTGGAAAGGGGTCAGGTGATAAAACACAGAGATGTCAAAGTCCATGCCTGAAAGACAACTGCAGCTCACAGTAAGGGTTCATCTGAAGGATATTTGAAAGGATGACTGTGATGCCAGGGTTTATCCATGTGGAGATGTGAGATCAGAAGAGAAATAAGATTACTCATTCAAGAACAACTTTTTCCACAGATTTAAAAACATGCTTACAGGCTAATAAGTGAGTGAAATAATTGATGTTTAATCAATTCTGCATATTTTCATGTTATATAAATATGAAGATGCATTATCTATGTAGTGCTCTACCATACAGGGTTGGGAGGTCTTCTGGCATTAGGATTAATGACAATTAGATTTCCTAACTCCAACTTATCATTCTCGCAAAAGTATTCTGCAACTCTGTTGGCATGAAAGTCTAACTACAACTTGTGGATACTGTCTCACCTCAAAACTTGTTTTAATAGGGTTCTCATTAGAAACTTACTCCTCTGATACAGAATTTTCTCTTTCTAATTCAACAGCTATTTATTTATCTACCTTTATTGTGTATGAATTGTCAAACTAGTCCACAAAAAGGACTTTTTTAGTAATTCCTCCAGATAAAGGCCATTTTACACTAATTCCAAAATTTCTGTATCAATTTGGAAATATATATGTGACATTGATTAAGTTATTAAGTACTGATAATATTCAAAAATCATAAACAACATTTTATATGTCATTTGGGGACACAGAATAATACAAATCAGAATAAACAGGGAAGCACAGAGAGGCGCTCAGTGTAGGCAGACATGGGCGAGGCTCCAGGACAGCAGGAAACTGCTCTTGTGAGGAGACAGAAGGAGCCCAGAAGGCAGCGCCATGGACAGTAGGGCTGTGCGGGGTGGGGTGGGGCACGAGATGGGGAGAAAAGGAGAGAGGAGCAAAAGCCGAGGCTACAGAGAGAACGAATGCACAGGGAAGAACCAGCGAGGTCCCAGGCTGCATGGTTTCTCTGTGACCCAGGAAAACAATCCAGGAGGCTCAGGGAGCCCTGGAGCTGCCCTGGATTCCTGTGAGCATCATTGTGGACAGAGCCCAGGGCAGACTGCAGGGAGCAGTGCTGCTCAGTCCTCAGATGCCAGGTGTGAGAGACTCCTCAGGAGGGTCTAGTGACAGCAACAGCAGGGTTGTTCCCGTGTAAATGTGGGAAGAACAGACACTGAGCAGCACTTGCCCAAGGTCACAGGGCCAGCAGGGATTTCAACTCAGTGTGACAAGAGGAAGAATTAACTGGACACTGTTATGCAGTGGTTTCCCTTGGGAAATGGCATTTGACAAGTTGTGGATGAACTGGAATATATTCCTCAAAATGCACTGTTAAATTTAAATATTTTGACTTGTCAGTCACATTATTTATTAAGCAGTGAAGCAACGATTTATTATATGAAAAGTAAGTAATAACAAGACAGATATATTTAACTAGTTTTCAAAAAAGAGTTGGCCATGTGTGACCTGGGCCATTCTCCCAGTCTTCCCATCAGGGTCGTCGCTGGTCCCCTTCCCTCCTCAACACTGACATGGCAGAGTGAGGGCTCTGAGGGAACTCACCTGCCACTGAGAGACCCGCCTCCTTCTCCTCTTTGAGCACAGGGTTCTGGATCCAACAGGACACAGGTGTTCTTGAGCTTTCCTTCACTGTGACAGAGCTTTCCACGTGGATCAGGCCATCTTCTAGTGCAGACATCATCACAGAGTCAGGTGACAGAGGCCATCCCTGTGGGTCCCTCCACTGGAGCTCAGGGACTGGGTACCACCCCGAGGATGAGCAGGTCAATGTGATGCTCCCAGTTTGCGCAGGCTGAATGTGGATATGAGGAGGTGCACCTGAGGCTGGAGGAATCAAAGCAGTGATGAGTTTATGACCCTGTCAGATGGGCCAGTCAGCTGGTCTTTGCTATTAACCTCTCTAGGAATCTTAATTCTGTTTGTGAAAACTGAGTTACAGAAATACTAGCCAGAAAGTATTTCCCAAAAAAATAATTTAAATAAATAAAATTAACCCTCTTAGCTCTTAGCAAAATATAACACTAAGCAGTTCCATATTTTTTATTTCCTTTTCCTCCATCTCTGAAAGTATTATTTATCCTTCCATCTGACAACCTCTGAGTTAAGTGCTGATATACTCTGCCAATCCAGTTGGAGCCAGAGAGCTGCAGATCACACAGCATGTAACCGTTTTCTGTGGTAAAATACAGTGGATCTCACAACTTTCACTTAGGTCTTCTTCATCTGCAGCAGAACTCTCCACGAGAACCTGTGACCTGGGCATGGTCCTGTCACCATGATCCAGTCCATCGGACACCAGCATCGCATGTGAGGAGTAAATGCAAGAAGGTTGATGAAACTAAAAACTGTTCCCTTTTACTTTCAATTCAGTTTAAAATTTCACAATTACCCACAGCTAGAATACCATATTGCAGTGTCCTGTCTACCTGTATGTGCTGTCTGCATGCACAGCTGCCAGCTAAGCACTACACAGGCTAAGAGTACAGGACTAGACTGAAGATGGTGCTTGAAGTGATGAACTGAACATACCATGAGCATGCTTAGCCAGTGACCATGACCCACAGGCAGTGAACCATCCCATTGGCTGCACTTCTTCTCCAGGTCTGGCTTGGGGGTCATCCTCAAAGGGGACAGAAAGGCCTCATTGAGGGGAGATGGAGCCTCAGAATGGAGGATGTGGAACTCCACAGTGTCCACCCACTCTCCCACCACAGGCCCCTTGCTTCTTGCTCTTCACAGGAGCACTGGTCAGGATGAAGCACAGCATGCAGCAGGCAGTGCACAGCAGCACGGACCCCTCACCTGCCCCACGGCTGTGTCTCTCTACAGAACTGGTCCAGGGTGAAGAGGTTGGGAGAGGAGGAACGAAAAGCAGGTGAAGCTGCAGAGCTGATCCCCAGACAAAAGCAGCCCTGCTGAGAGCAGCACAGCATCTCCTTGAAGGGGAGACAATGAGGAGAGGGGCAGGGACATTGCCCCTGGTGGATGTGAGCAGTGGAAATTAAAAAGCTTGACCTTGGCTTCATCTTAGTTTAATTTTATGTTGCAGTTGATGTGCTTAGGTTGAACCCACAACTACTCCTTTCTAAAGCACAGAGAGATGATGAGTCTGAAAAACTCTTCTGTTGGGCCCATGAGATAAAAAGCAGAGGCCCCAGCAGGTGATCAGGGAAGCACTGCTGGTGTCAGAACAAACTCCAGGGCAGGAAGGACAGCTGGTGTCCAGTAAGGAGTTTCAAGATGGGAAGTGTGTACTGCTGAGTGAGTAGGTGCAAACACAGGGAAAGCTGATTCCTATGCAGCATGGAATCCCTCTGTGAAAGAACAGAACTCTCTGGAAAGGATAAGTCAGGCTGCTTTAGAGGGATGAAGGCATGCTCCAGGAGACACAGCCGACAAGCTGGCCTCAGATTCAGAGCCAGTCATGAAATTTTTTTTTATTCATATAACTAAAAATTTTTTGGACTCATTTGCACAAATTCTATAGCATGTGTGTAGAGCCTCTAGGAGTGGATGTGTCAGGGTCACCCCAGATGTCTCCACAGAATAATGAAGCTCTCACCAGAAGGTGAGGCTCGGGGAGGAAGAAGCAGGGTCAGGATCACTCAGCCCTGCAGGCTCCTGGGAAAGTACATCTAGCAGGTGCTGCTCCATTGCATGTAATGGGCACAACCTGAGAGGACTCCAGTGTACCTCTCTGAAGATGTAGGCTTCCTAACTTAGACAGGGGCTGACTTCTGCTCCACTACCACAGAGATTGTGTGGAGAAAGCTATTGTAATGGTTGATTGATTATGTCAACATGTGAAGTTTAGGAATTTATCTAAATCTGTTTAGCAATTACACACCTCAGGATGTGCCCAGAACCTAGGCTAGGGCAGCCTTTAACTTGGAGGGAATAGAGGGCAAGTCAGAAAGGATGGACTAGATTCTGAACTTCAGAGGAACTCCAGGCTTTACACTAGCAGACTCTTCAGTCTCTGCCTCTGATTGCTCAGCCTTCAGGAGTAGACTCTTACCCTACTGGCATGGACTCAACCTGCCATCACAGACCTATTCACTGCCTGATACAGACCTGCATGGGACACTGCAGTGAGTTCCAGATCCTGGACTGAAATCTTCAGTTTCTACCACGCAGACACCTTCAGCAGGGTTCCTCACCCAATGTTGTGGTGACTACTGTAAGTCAATCTTCTAATGTCTTATACATCTGCATATCTTGGGTTATATCTGTTTTATAGTGATACACTGGCTGGTATACAAATGAAGGTTCTCCTTGCAGAAATTCAACCAAAAGATTTCCGGATAAAACTTGCTAATAAGTTTCTTTTCTGGATAGCCCTAAAATGTGGAAAATTGTATGACTTCCTGATTTATTAGGTAACTGTGAGACAAAGGACAGTTCAGTCCTGGCAGTACTTGCTGTAATCCACAGATTAACCTTCCATCAGCCTCAGGCTTTCAGAGATGGTGGCAGACAAAAAGCACAGGAGACACACACAGGTTGGTGGACCTGGAGAAAAAGGTCTTCCTGTATGACAAAGGCCAGGATTTTGCTGTTCATGATTCAGTTGGTTTCTCCCAAAATCTTTAATGGGAGACAAAGAAGAACTCATCTTGAGGTCAGCACATGGCCCTATGACATCTCTATAATGAGTTGATTTGGGCTCAGTTCATGGCTGAACTATGAAACATGTCTTAACCTTCCATCTCCTCAAGACAGGATTTTCCCTACTGTCAGTGTTTGCAGAGTTGGGGGAGAGAACAGTGAAGGCTTCTGGAGAGATCTGAATCCACAGGTGATGGAGTAAGAGGGGCCAGGAGCACATGAGACAGGAAGGAGCTCATCCAGGATGGAAGTAAATGAGGTGAGAAACTCAGAGTTGGAGAGTGGGCTGTCCAGGCCCTTTCTGTCCCTGTGTATCTCCTTCTGGGTCTAACAGGTGAGAAGGAAATCACCAGACTGAGCTGTGTGCTGAGACCCTTGGTGTCAGAATACATTGGATTCCATGATCAAACCTGCCCTTCAGCAACTGTATTGGAAAAGGAAACAGTTAGGGACCTTTTTCTTTTAACATGTAAATCACTCTACAAGGACTAATGAGATGAACGTGAACTCTAACACCTGCCATTCCCCTATGGTGTCTGTATAGACTCAGCCACATTTTCTACATGTACAGTTTAGTCCTGATTGGCTACAATACTGTAAGTTCACCATTTTCTGTGCTCACCTGTGACAAACAGCTCAAACTGTGCTTGGCTAAGATGTGTTGATCTTACAAAGACACAGCTGTACTGTCCTTCATCTCCAGGGAGGATGGGATGGATCATCAGGGCCACCTGGCCTTGGGTGATGTTTTCCCTCCAGAGCTCTGTCCTCCCTTGGTACTCAAGACTCTGCTGCTCCATGTGGTCCTGAGAATTCCTGTACTCGTGCACTGATTGCTGTTCCCGGTACCATCTGATCACCATATTCCTAGCATCCACGGGTGGGTTGAGTTGACAGGGAAGCATTGCAGCCTTTCCCACTCGGGCAATGACTGGAAACCTTGGTCCCTTCACTTGAAACTGCCCTGGAGGTGATTAAAAAGAGGACACAGTCATTGCTGAGAGTGTGGCAGGTATGGTGGTGGCTTTTTGACCAGACAGAAGTGACCTCGGGTCAGCTAACATGATGAACTTGGGAAGCTGATGATCACAGCTGAAGGAGGAGGTGCAGGTTCACATTTAGTATAAGAGATCACAGGGAAGAGGTCATGGGACATTTGGAGAAATGTACAATATTCACAGAACCTTATGATAAATTAATTTTTCCAGCTTAGTGTTGAAAGTCAAATTCCTATGAAGCAGTGTATTCAATTCTTATCACCCTGTGTGTTGAACAGCATTACTGTTTTACAGATGAATAATTTCAGTGAATGCTTTAATACCACATAACACCTAATGATGGATAATAAAATTAATATTTCAAGCAGTGTCAAACATTTTATTGCTTTGAAGCAGTGTATGTTTCTCTGTGTCATATGCTCATGTAAGCCAAATAAATGTGAAAACATTAAAACAAATGTTTTTCTAAGCAAAGTATAGAAATACATTCTCTATTCTCATTTTAGAAAGTTAATGCCTGTGTTGCCTTCAGATTGCTCAGACCTGTGGGCTGTTATCAAGCCAACTCCACAATTGTGGATTCTACACCTTGGCTCAGGCACCACCAACTTGGGCCTGGTTCTTATACATCTGCCCTCCACAAGACAGCAGAATTTTGACTCAAATAAGAGTACTGGTCTGAACAAAGCAACAGTCTGGAATAGGAGATTCAACATGGATGGAAAAGTCACATCATAAAAGCCAAGGAACAATCTACTGAGAAGGAATGTTCTGGAACATCCACCATGGCTGAGTAAAGGAGAAGCCATGCTAGAGACTCAGAGAACATCAACAAGAACACAGAGGAGAGAGGACAAGAGGTCAGAGCAGTGAGTTCCAGCAGCTTGGTTTCTCCAGGACACATGGTGTGATATCTGTAGTGGGAGGCAGCAGAAAGAAATTGGGTCTCTGTCCTGAGTCACCTTTAGTGGTAAGGGGTGGTGAGCATCTGCCTCACTAATTCCCCAGGACACAGATGTACAGTGCAGGCACAGACAGGAAGACACTGTGGAAATTGACTGGGGGTCTGAGTTTCAATGCCAGGGCAGCCAGGAGATTTTGAAATGAGAAGGTCACAGAGTGGAGGAGGAAATCCTACTCACTGGAAACTGTTGGCAGCTGGTGAGCAGATTGCAGTGAGTCCTTCTGAAATGGAGGGACTGGACATCAAATTGCTGAGACCTGCACTGAGGCCCCAGACCCAGCCTGACTTACTCAAAATTGGAGGCTTACATTGGCACCATTTACTACTGCTAAAGGGAGACCCACAGCAGGGTATATAATGTGTTATTTCTTAGCCAGTCCTGATAGATGGCACTGAAATGGATTAGACTCTTACCACTGTAGGTGGATTGACTGCACAGCAATAATGCTGACTCAGTGGACAATTTAGTGCCTGTGAACTTCTCTGCCAAATGCACCATTACACACAGGGAGAGGGGCAGAGAGAGCTCCTTACCCGAGAACTCTGGCTGAATCAGACTCTGCAAAAATACCTGCAACCTGGCAGAAAGAAGCGCTGAGTCTGAGTGAACTTCAGCTTTGCAGTGGACGGATCACAGGGTAATGGGCTGTGAGCACTGAGACTAGAGTCACACAAAGGAGGTGCTTTTCTACAGATGACTAGATGAAGGAAATGTGCTATCTACATCTGATGGAATACTGGAAAGAATGCCATTCTTTAAAGAATGATGAATGTGAGGCATTTGCAGGAAAATGTATATACCTGCAAAACATAATATCCAGTGAGATAAATCAGACACACAAGCTTGAATATCATATGGTGTGTCACATTATTGTGAGGCAAAGTAAAAGCAAAGAAAATAATAAAGGATGAACAGAAACAGGGGAACAGATGTCGTCCAGCAGGGAAGTGGTCCAAGGAAATGAGGAGAGGGATAAGGAGGAGAGGAGGGGAAATGAGAGGACTGTATTCGTGCCATGTACAGGATCCTAATAGCTCTACTCAAGGTAAATATTCTGTGCCACAATGTGAGCTGAGACAATTAGGATTAACAAGTCCAATAAGGGTGATGGGAACCAGAGGTGGAGCGGGAGGTAAAGGGAGGGGTGGGAAAGTGGATTAGAAACAAGAGCTGCAAGTGTTAGATAAACAAATACTAATTAAATTAAATTAAAAAATGAAAATAAATACAAAAGGATGTGTATAAGATAGTGTAAAATTACAACAGGGAATCTGCGTGTGGCATTGTGAGAATTAAAAACTAAAAACATTTGTCCTCTGCTTTCTAAGAGAAGTTTTATCTTTCTCTTACTTTCCTTAGAAAAACTTCTTTTCCTTCTCTTGGATATAAACCCTATGAGCTTTTAACCCTATGAGTTTCTTAGTTTTCTCACCCAGACAAACCTTTCTTAAAGGCCTGAGAATCATCAGATGAGAGCATGAGCCCCTGTGAAGAGAGAGCTGCTACTCTCCTCACTGTGTAGGGGAGCCCTGGGTCCGTGCTCCAAGCCCCGTCTATCAGTAAGATGTAAAAGTAACAAAGCTCTATTTCTCTTTGGAAAAAGACAGTTCACTGATACAAACAGCCACTTCATTTTCAGGATAAAGGAAGAAAGATAAACCCCAGATGGTGTTTCCTTTGCTCACTGAGGACAGGTGTCTTTTCTGTAAGAACACATCTGCAGGGCTCAGTAGGCTGGGGGCTTCCTTTCTGTCAGAGCAGTGTCATTCACAGTTTTATTTGCTTAACCAGTTTTGTGAGTTGATTACTTAGGCTGTGCATCATACTCTGCTTTAACACTTGACAGATTTGTTTAGTTCTTTTTACACTGTGGAAGGCATTTTTGTAGTGGTCAGGAGGTCCTGTCATTTAATGATTCCCAGGAAGGAAATGCAAGAATTCATCTACCTGTGTTCAGCAGAGTAGGACCGCAGGTGGCCTGGGCCATGTGCAGCTGGGGCAAGTGGGGCAGGCACTGGGACTGAGCTGCTGCCCTGCTCTGCACTCACTTTGCAGTTGGGTCAGGACTGACCTGCAGCCCTGGACACAGCTAGTGCTGAGGAATTTCAGAGCTTGGAAGTGTTAGGAAAAGTCTAACAGTTACCCAGTAGCCAACCCAAACATCCAGAGATGACGGTGCCAGTTATGACACACAAGTGTTAAGTTACCATTGAAATTATATTCAAGTGTTTTACAGACATCAAATGCTTAATCACATGACCTGGTCAGAATGAAAATGGAACACTCACACACACACAGAGACACACAGACACACACACACACTCCAAAACTTAAGACTCTTTCAAGTTCCATGGATAAAATTCCACATAGGAATTTCACTCTTAATTTGAAAGTCCATTTCCAATATTGAAAATATATTAACATAAGCTATTATTATCAGGTTAGCACACTGTGGCCAGGGCTGAGTGAACAAATATTTCTCAAAGTAAGAGTTAGTTTTCAGAGCTTTGTGTGATTTGGAGTATTTGTATTGCCTTGATCAGGTGAATCATGCTAATAATTAAATTACAAAGCTGAAATTCTCCTAAACTCTAAATGCTCTGAAATCTGAAATTTTTTGAGGACCCTAGTGCCATTTGTTCAAAATACTTGAGATTTCCAAGTATTCTGAATTTCAGAATTTCTGATAGTTGGTGTATCATCCATGACATGCAGTGAACCTTATGAAATAAAACTGATATCTTGGCACCAGAACATGAAGAGGCAGAGGGAAAGTGATGGATTATAAACAGTGGAGAATTCTGACATAACACAATGTTGTCATCCTCATACTCTATCCAATCATTATATTGCTAACTCCTTTGAGTACTGCTCACTAGAATCCCTATGATGGAGATGAGAGAGAGAAAGATCTCTGATCCTACACTTAAAGCCTTTCCCAGACTCAGCTCCAGGACAGCCTCTCCCCTGGTGCTGAGGGAGGAGAGACCACCTCTGCTGAGAGCAGGGGACAGGAGCTGCTCATGTCCTCTCCTCCAGGGCCCTGATGCTGACAGAGGAGGGCAGACCCAGCCCTCATCAGCTCTGCATGAGCAACTCTCAGGGCCTTGCTCCATCTCACTCTGCAGACTGGATCTGAAGCTAATGAGTGAGGATAGACGTGGAGAAAACACTGCAGAGAAAACACCACCTTCCCAAGATGCTAAAAATGGCCCTGGATGGCAGAGGGGAAGCAGCCTCAGCAGTTGCTGGTGCTGTGCAGAAGATTTCCAGGGATCACAGACACAGGAAAGTTTAAGGCCTGGGTCTGTCCTGCGTTCTATATCTTAAGCCAGGACTTAATATTGAAATCCCCTAAGTCATTCTCTTTAGCCACTGCATTTGCATTCCCTTTGAAGATATCAGCTCTGAAATCTCTGACAAAACTCACATGAACAATTATGTGACAGCTGAGAGTCTCCGTGGGAATATCTGATAGAGGAAAAGCAATGAGCTCTTCCGTGCAGCAACCGCAAACTCTCCGCTCTTGAGTGTAAACAGTGAAGGATGTGTGGGAAGGAGAATGAGCAGCACTAACAAAGGGCGGTGATCCCAGGAGGTCCACACCAGCCTCACTCAGAGGTGGGAGCAGCCTTTCCTGTGGGCTGTGTGACAGTTTAAATCCTCCTGTGCACACTTCACATTGTGGCATGAAAATGCTATTAGATTCATGATTCAGGAGTAAATATTCAGCTTTATGCACTGTAATCTGAAATTCATGACACAGTGCTTCACACACTGCTGCAGCAAAGGCTTCACATTGGATCACCTTTGTAGTTATGTGAGTTTATATCTAGATGTCCCTGTGATGCCTCATTCCATCATAGGCAGGGCCTTATGGAAGGAGCAGGGATCATAGGGACATCATAGCTGACTGGCTATGAGGAGGCAGAGGTAGTCTAGGAGACAGTTGCTGTGAGGGTGATCCAGGAATGTGATGGCTCCCTGGCTCCTTTCCTGACTACCTGCTTCCTGTTCCCCATGCCTTGATGACCTCCCTTCCCCACTTCCCTCTGCCTGATGGTGCTGCGTGGGGACCATGGACTGTGGCCTGAAATGTAAGCAAATAAAACTTCAGTTGGGTATTTTGTCCCAGCAATGAGAAAGTGACTTACACAGTGAACTCCTTGACTTACAGGGAAATACATCAAAACCCAACAGTGAACCAAGGTAAAGGTACAGAGAATGAAGATTTTTTTTTTTTTTTTTTGGTCTTTTTTCATTTTTATCGGTACCGGGGATCGAACTCAGGACCGCCTGCTTGCAAGGCAGGTGCTTATGCCGCTGAGCTAAACCCCCAGTCCCCAAGAATGAAGATTTCTACACAGGAATGCAGCAAAGGAAAACTCCAGGTTGGTACATAGGATAAGAAGGTAGGGAAGGTGGTTTCTATGAACACAGTACAAATTTTGAGTATGTGAGACATATACCAAAGAAACACCGGACAGCACTGAGACATTCAGGAAAAATGAACCTTACTGCCACCATGGAATGAGAAAATCAAGAGAAAATGAAAAGCTCCCCAGACAGAGGACCTGGGTGAGCTTTCCTGTGTCACCGCAGATGGCTCTCCCATGGTTAGAGTAGGCTTAGTGTGAGTGTGGCCTAACCCTGCCCTGAGCAACACGCAGAGAGGAAAGGAGAAGAGAGCAGGTAGGGAAATCAAGAGGTCACTGTTCATCTGGGAAGTTCATGCTGGACCAGGAAAAACCTGTCAGGAATAGGAGAATACCAGAAGCAAAGCCTGGAAGAGATATCAGGGAATTCCAGGAAATTTTATTAGGCAGTATAAATTCTAATTGTTAAATAAATCTTTAAATACTCTTTGCTTTTCTAGAATATTGATGAAAAGTCTTTCCACACAGCTAGGGTTCTGCAGGCCATGTGGACACAGGGAGGTGAGAAGATGAACTGGATTCTGTGTCCCTGGGAGGAGTAAAACGAGTAAAATCCCGGGAGCAGTGGGTCTGCGGGGACCAACCTGCAGGCATGGAGGTGAATCTGGATTGTAGGCAGAGGATGTAACCGGAAATGTTCTCTAGAGTACACATTCATAAAAGGAGACCAAATATCTCAAGTCAATGAAAATTCACTAGAGATCATTTACAATTTGAATACCTTGCAAAAGTAAGTCAGCAGACTTAGCTTTTTAATAAGAGTTATAAGAAAAAAAAATGATCATTTCCATGGATTTTTCTCTCATTCTCAGTATATATTTTACATTTTTATTTCATGTTATCATTTTTTCCAGAATGTTTTCTAAGGAAAATCTTCTAAAATGAAATTATGAGGGAAATGTGTTTCCACAAATTTAAGGGTATTTTTGTTTTTTTAAAGTTAGAATGCGGGGCTGGGGATTTAGCTCAGCGGCATAAGTGCCTGCCTTGTAAGCAGGCAGTCATGAGTTTGATTCCTGGTACTGATAAAAAAGAAAAAGACCAAAAAAAATAAAAAATAAAAAAAAAATCTAAAGTTAGAATGCTTTCCATTGGTCAATACTGGATCCCAGCATTATTCCCATTTTAATGACTCATAATATCCACTATTTTTATTCACTCATGGACAGTATTGACTTTCTTTTTTTGTTGAGTTGAAAGCCCTTAAACAATCCTAACTGAGCTTTAAAATAATAGATGTGAGTAAGTTAGTAAGCTTTTTTTGTGTGTGTGTTTTGTTTTGTCTTTTTCGTTTTTGGTCTTGTTTTCCAAACTCCTTTTTCAAGTGTTAATACCTCCCTGGTGGGTTAGCAGATGACACTTTCTAGGAAGACAACATCATTACTTTTATAATGCTGATTGTCTTGTATGTTTTGTCAGAACATGTTCAGGCATTCACCGCTCAGCAGTGTGTATTTCCTTAGAGTAACTGCAGACCATCTATTCAGCTGCCCTGATGTTTCACTTTCACTTTGGTGCTGTCATTTCAAATGAGCACCCGATTTAGATTTACTTCACTCAGACCCTGTCTGCAGTGCAGGTGACCTAAACCAGAGCAGTTTTCAAGTCATAAATGCTATGTGCCCTTATCAATTTATCCTCCTTTTAAACCTCAGGCAGCTGTTAAAAGAATTGAAAGATGGATCCCAGTGGGGTCACAAATGACAATGACAAATTTCTGTGCCCTGTGACTCCTTCTTTATACAGCCTGGTGTGAAACAAAACAGAGCTTGAAGTAGGAAATAAAATCCTCAAAATCAAAATGGAAAACACATTGAAGACCCTGTCAAAGCACCCTAGAGGTGTGGGCTGAGCTTGGCCTTGGACTCAGGTCCCACTCTGGGTCCCCAGTAGGGGGAAGCAGGGGACCTCAGGGAGATTCACACAGATCCAGGGTCAACTTTAGACAAGGTTTTCAGAAAAGAGGTCAAGCAAAACAAGGAAAACTATGGGTTAGGGCTTCGCAACTGGTCAGGAAAATGAGAAAAAGAAGAGAATTAAAATGTTTATGTACCTGTGTAAATGTTCCAGAATGATTTTGATTTTAATGTACCATAACCATGTAAAAATAAAAAATAAATTAAAAAATACAAAAAGAAAAAGTGAGGTGCAAAACTGAGATGAATGCCTCAAAAAAAGATTATTTGAGCATCCTAATTAGTACTGCATTAATAAAAAGTGTGCTAGAGGACCTGTAGCTGAAAACCAAGGAGAGAGGGAAGGGAAGAGGACAGAGTGGGCAGCGCAGACCAGGATCAGACCCTCAGGGGCAGCACAGGCTGAGCCCTCTGTGCAGGGGAGGGCAGGAGGGTCCCGCCCGCCCTGCTCCTCCTCACTCACCTGCGCCTGGCCAGGGCAGCAACAGCCAGAGCAGGAGGCGCCTGAAGTGCAGGGCCCAGGGCTGCATCACAGGAGGCTCAGGGGGAGGTGGGACCCTGTCCTTGCTCTGTCACAGCCACACTGCAGGTCTTCTCCTGTGGTCACTCTCCTGCTGGAAAAGGGGAAATTCAGTCCTATACAGAAGGCATAGGTGTGGGAAATTATATTATGAGTCAAGATTCTCTTACTTTGATTTTATAAACTTAAATTTAAAAAAAAAAAAAAAAAACAATGTCAATAAAAATCCGCAGGCCTCCCAGTGATTCTATTAAGGAATGCCTCAAGGAAATGGCTTTCTTCCCTCCAAATATGAAAAACAGAGAGAAGATGCTGATCCCAAACACTCAAGGCTCTTTGCACAAAGCGTTGTGCATGGTCAAAGATCTTCTCAAGGAGGAGTCACCATGCAGGGACACTGGGGGCAGGAGAGCAGCAGCAGAGTTACTCACATTACACAGGGGCAGCTGCAGCAGGGCCCCAGGGAGCCTCTCCAGGGCAGGGACAGCAGCTGAGCTCAGGGGCAGCCTGAGCCTTGAGGAGGGTCTAGGCTCTGTGCCCCCTGTGGGTGGCTCGTGGGAACCAGGTCCTGGGTTCTGGGCACAGGTCGGTCCTAGCTGTGTGGTGTCCTGTGCCAGGGACACAGGGCAGGTCTGAGGTGGCCGGATAAGGAGAGAGGCTGCATGGGGACTCAATCAGCTATTCAAGACCCCAAACTGATATCCTCTTGCCTTAGCTTCAAAATAAAGAAAAGACAGCATTTTTTTCTTTAAAAGAACCTGTAATATTAGCAGCATTTCTATGTCCTATTATTGACTTTGGGCCCTCTTTTTGGTATATTTAGGTGATGCACATGGTTGAAGAAATTTCACAGAATAAGAATGAAGCTGCTGTAAGTGGTGAAAATAATACCTTTTTAGGGGCATTAGGAGGAGGAAAATAAATCCTAATACAGTTACTTTTTTTAGATTTTTGCAGCAATGGTTTTAATTTTTATGGCACTGCATAAAAACAGATCTGAAATTTTAGCGGATCATAATTATTTCACAGTGTGTGGGATACTTCGTTTATGATAATAACACCTCCATTTGTTTCTAGGATTAACTTATTAAGTCATGGTAGAGGCTGATACAAGCTTGAGGAGTGGATGGGTAGATGGTTCTTTTTGCAGAGACTGAGGGAAAACCTCAGAAAATAATCCTCTCTGCTGACTTCTGGAATAGCCCAGATTTAATACAAGATTCCCTAATAACAAAGAAAGAAACAATGTCAAATAAACCAGTCCATTAGAAAATCATGCCGTGCAGTCATTTAGGTGTGACTGTTTGTGGTAAAATCACATCCAGAGTTCCTGCACCAGGCCATTGTCATTGGAGATGGCCTGATATCCACCTCAGCAAGTCAGCTACTGAATGGGATGGATGTGAGCCATGATCATAGCTCTGTGGTATAACCAAACTGAAACACAAAACACAAAATTGGAAATAATACCTGATGAAGAGATTTTACTTTTCCATATCATTGGAATCAAGAAACACTGTGAACACACAGTGTCTGCAGCTGAGGCTGAGCTCTAGTGCTGTCCCCATGCAGGTGACTGACTCCCAAGGGCCCTTCCTGAGGTCTTTGACTCCTGGGGCACTGAGGCTGCTGACAGTGGAGAGCTGAGTTCTATAGACCTCAGGAGGACATCAGAGAAACTCAGGGGTGTGTGGGCCTCAGGATTCACCATCTTTAGTGGAAATAATGACTCACTTAGGGTTGAATCTCCCCACCACAAAAATCCAAAGTATTTATTCCAGCAGAAAGAGAACAAAGGTCAGCAAAACTTGGAGAGGCTATACTGGTCAGTCTCCTGCTGTCTGATCAGAAGTTTCTAAAGCATTACTTTATCAAAGGTGTCTATTTTCCTTATGTGGAATATAATATTGTCTTCATTACTGCCTTTAAGTGTGATTTTACATCTATTATGTAGAGTTATTTCTCTTCTGTCTCTGATCCAGAGTCTGTGGAAATGGCAGCCGAGGACCAATCTTCATTTCATAAAGGGAATCAGGGGGTGACATCAACAAGTCACCCACAGCCTGTAACTCCAATATGGGAGAAGGACATTGGGATGGTTGCAGTTTAGGCTGAAGGAGGCCCCAGGTCTAGTGGGCAGGGCGCTGGTCGGTGGACCGTAACTCATGGTTACTGGTCCAGAAGTTCATGGGTCCATGACTTAACCACATGATGGGATGGAATCAGGGTCAAATGCAGGGGCATTAAAATATCCCATATGTGAAAATATATATTTACACATGACATATAGGGAAATGTGAAGAGGAGGATTATTATGGTTACAGTAAGGTTAGGGTTAAGTATTAGGCCTTAAGTTAGGGTTAGGGTAAATACTGGGGCTTGATACAGATTCATTTAGGTATACAGTTAGTATCTTTAAGTATGCTTTTAGAGCCTAATTAATTTTTAAAAAAATATATGCAAGTGACAAGGGAAGTAAAGTTTCTTCTGAGAGCTTTTCCGAGCTCAGCTCTGTGTATCTGAGAAGTGCAATGCATAACTGTTCCTGGAGTCCGTAATGGAAGGGGGCAGGATCCTGACAGAGCACAGCACGTGTCCTGGTCCAGCAGAGGTGGGGATTGCAGTTTATGTCCCATGTATCTGCATGGAGAGACCTGCTGGGTTTATTTTCATGGTATGGATGACACTGTGACAATACCTTGAAATAAAGGTGGCAATGGGCCATTTGCCTGGAAATAGCACATTCAGGGGAACTGTGGGCAGCTGGGCTGGTCTTTGCGTCTCAGGTTGATCTGTAACGTCCTGCCTGGTTCAGCAATGAAGATGAGCAAAATGACACCACGCTTTTTCATTTCTGGTACTTAATTGCCACATCACCTACTCCAAAAACTGTGCTAGTCAATGTTGAGAGTGTCCCCTGTGTCCTCAGTGAGGACACAGGACCTTCTCGGGCACCATGGTGCTACGCCAGTAGCCTAGGACAGGGAGGATCAGGCACAGTTGCTGCTGGAACTTCTCAGGGAAGGACACCTGGCTCTCCATGTACTAAAACTCTCTCAGGAGTCATGCTGAGCTTGGGGACATGCACTTCTATCATCAAAGCACGTTGGAAAGGCGAGGACTTAGGGTCACAGGTTCAGAAACGCTATTGCTTGGAGGCCTAAAGGTCTGTGTAGTAGTTTCCGCTTTCATGATATAAAACATTAAGGATAATGATTTCCTGTCAGAATCCGATGCAGTCCCCTTAATTGCAATGCGTCCCCTGGGCTGACCCGCGCGCCCCCTAGCGGATGAGCCGCGCACTTCCGCGGTACCCACGGTTCTGCAGCAGGGACCTCAGCCTGTCCTGGCTCCTCACCCTTGTGGTCCTCTGTTTCCCCACAGAACCTGAGGGATCTGCCCCAGCAGGAATCCCATCCTGATGTTCCTGCCCCAGCCTAAAGACCCTGGACTGAACCCCAAAGCCAGGAGTCCCATGAACCCCACCCTGAGGATGCGGTGCACTGTGTCCAGCAGCAGAGAAACCGTGCTGGAGCTGCTGTACTTGGCCCCCTGGGCCCTGGGCCCTGGGCGTGCTCAGCAAGTCGGATTCCCTGCAGGGACCAGGCGTCGGGCCTGGGAGCCTGGGGACCCCGCCTTGCAGCCCAAGCTGAGACCCCAGAGCCTTGGCTGCTCTCCCTCCCTGACTGCCTGCTCTAGGCTATGCTTCCCGCCCCTCCTTTTCCCCTCCCACTCTGCCTGGGGAGTCTAGCAGGGCTCTTGCCCTGTATCTAATAGAGTTCAGCTAATTAAGGACATCAGAAAATCTCCCCCAGTCCTGTGTTTATTCATCCAAATTTTAAGTTTGTTGAGCTCACAGCCTCCAGGCTGCTCACTACAGAAGCTCCACTCTCTGCAGGGAACTCAGCTCTGCACCCAGGCAGTCACTGGCAAACTCAGGAAAGATACCGGAGATGAGATAAAGGAAGGACAATCTGTGGGTCCTGGAGACATCGAGAGACACTCAGGAATTTACCAGAGGCCCTTCAAAGGATTATGTCCACTGAGATACAAGATGGCCAGGAAAATTTAATCATGCATCTTCCTGCCCACTGTCCCCTGCCTTCTCTCCATCCCTATAAAAGAGACATGCTTTTCTTTGGGGCAGAAGGCCTTATGTTCTTTGCCTGAATCCAGGCACAATAAAATCCATGCCATGTGGTGTTTTAAAAAGCCTCCCATTCTCTGCTGCTTACTTATATCACATCTGAGACATAGACACTGCTTCTTTTTTCTGAAGCATTCAGGTCCAGAGTTCTATATTGATGCATGGCCCCCTGAATATGTTTCCTAACATGTTCCCAGGGGTGAGCAAACCAGTGATAGAGTAGGGAAGCTATGCAAAATCGGGGAACATTATACTGACACTGAAGGCTTTGGTGTAACTGCAGACTTTCAATCTGATCTCCCATCAGCTGAACCCTGGTCTCCAGCAGGTTTATGTGATTGACCTTTGGTGCATATTATGGGCTGTATCTCCCAAGCCTCCTCTGCTATTTTTGTCGAATTGTCTACAATGCTAGGTGTCTGGACAGAGTAGGCAAGGTCAACACAGACAGCCACCAAGATCAGCAGTGCTAGAGAGACTGTTCCAACAGTAATCAGGCCTGTCGTGCTGCTAGTTCCAGATACAAGAGGATCAGATGAGGACTGCAGAAGGTGCAGCAGCTGAGCATAAGACCAAGGCTGGTTAGATTAACTGACATCCATGCTCCCATCACAGGTCCCCCAGATCATTACACTTTCATCAACTGTTATAGCAATCTTAGCTCACCAGAGGCAGGGGAACTGAGGGAACACTGAGAATTGGGAGGAACCGGACTTTTGCTAATGGCCTCAGTGGAGTTCAGCACTGCAAAGTCTAAGCACCAAGCAGGAGATGAGAGAGCTGTATATAGGGCTCCTAGGGGAAAGGGCAGGCAGATCAAAGGCAGTTACTCCAAGGCCACAGTTTTCAGCTCTGCACATCTGGGGACCTCAGAGGTCAGGGAATGGGACAGCAGGATGCAGTGCAGCTGCCTGCTTCTCAGGTGAGGAAAGGTAGTCAGTAGGGTGTCAGACTTGAGAGGCTTCATTTTCCCCAACAGATACCTTCTCCTGCTTGAATGTGATGACTTAGGGTACACCCCTTACATTTAAGGGAAGTTTCATTCCAGACCATCGTTCTATAATGGAGAACATTAGAACTGTAAATACATATTTAAGTTCTTTGTTTGCCATTCTGTGCAGCCCCTGTGTAACTGAGTCCTTAATGGGGTGCATACTGTGATCTATAAATTTTCCCCCACAACATGGGGCAGGCCAAGTTTCCAATAAGTAGTCTGTAGAGACCAGGTTCACCATGAATCAAATCTGCTGAACCTCTGAGTTAAATCCTGCAACCTCCCAGGTGAGGTCCCTGCAGGGAGAGGCTGTGAGGCTATCTTGGTAACCCACTTCCAAAATGTCCCATGGGGATCTAAATACTGTTAGCCTTATCTAGTAGGGGTCCCCCAGGTCCCAATCAAGTCATATTGACCCATAGACATTGTTTCCTCCTTTTCCCTTGCAGGGGCCCAAAGGGCAAGTAACACCTTCAGCAGAATCATTCAGACAAGTGTGGGCTTCACAGAAAAGGGCACTGGGGGACCAGCAATGGATCTCTTCGTCACCACGAGTGGAACTGAACATCACAAGGCTTAACCATTGTCAGGGCTCTGATCTAGGCCCCCATCCAACTAGGAGGGAAAAAACTCCCCAGGCAGATCTGTTCCTGATACCTGGGGGTGTGCAATGGGCAAGGAAGGAAGCCAGCAGCTTCCCCAGGCAGCTCCACCAGCTTGCAGCCTCCCCCACAGCTCAACCTGCAGAGAGATGCTTCCCTGAAAACCACAAGAGACACAGGGTGCCTGCCAGCACCCCCTGTACCCAACACCTCCCTGTCTATCACCTGGGCTTAGACCCCCTACTCAGAGACCCAGAACTGTGTACCCCTCTCAGCAATGCCTCCCACCCCTATCCTATCACCCTTATACAACATGCCCTCACCCATGGCTTGAGTCCAATGGTCTTTTCACCCTTGGCCTAACCACACCCAGTCTGCAATAAAGTCATTGTCCTTTGCTTGGACCTCACCTCCTCAGTAATCTCAGTCATGCTCTGGTTTAGCCTGTCATCTAATACCTTGTGTGAGGATGGTATCAAGGTTTCCTGCCCCAAGGATCCAACTCTCCTCCTCAAAACCACCTGGGCACACAGAGCTCAGTATCAGCATCGGACCTCTGGGTGTCCCCTGGCCTCAACTTGCTCCTGGTCATGATACTCCCTCAGGTTAGGTAAGTGACACTATTCCCTCCCCTCAATTGTGTCTTGTTTCCCTTCTCCTCCTTTACTGACTCTCGGGAATCAGCCAGAGTCATGCTGCAGAAAACCAAGGGCTGGTCACACTCACCCCTATCCAGGAGCCAGGATCCCTGATGGTCACCCAATCTCAGAGATGTCTGTTTTGGTCTCCGCATCCACAGTTCTCACCCTCCAGTAACTGACAGGAAACATCCCCTTTGGAGTCCTCCTGGGTAACTCCTTGCACTCCTGTCACCTCCCCACTCACTTGCATTCTGAAAAGCTTCAAGCCTCCCCAACTTACTCCTGACCTGAAGCCAAAATGCCTGAGCTCTACAATACAGCTTCTCCAGTCTAGGAGCCAGACAACCAGCCCAAATGGGCACCAAATAAGACATATAACTTTTTCATTCTCCAGGATTTTGACAAGTTTTGTCATAGGCTTGCTAAGTGGTTTGAGGTCCTATTTGTCCAGGCATGTTTTATTCCTCACAGGCTCCCTTTCCTCTGCACTTCCTGCACCCCTGCCAACTCCTTCTCACTTCCCTACCACCACTGCTCCCTCTGTGTGCCTCAGAAAGGATACACAAATACATGACTGTTTGCCTTGCTGAGGGACTCAAAACACCAGCCTGGAAATCAGTTGATGACTGACTTAAAACTGCTCAGTGTCTGGGTTACTTTTCTGTCCTCGCTGAGACAAAATACCTGATGCTCAAAATTAGAGAAGGAAAGGTTTACTTAGCTTACAGTTTGTGGAGGTCCCAGTGCATATTCAGCTGGCTCTAAGGCAGGGTGGCGTGGATGAGAGGCAACGGTTTGTGGTGGCCACAAGTGACAAGAGCAAAAGGGCAAAAGGTAAGAGCACACCTCCTTCCCTCCCTGATATTCTGTGCTGATGACCTGTCCCTGGGCGGTGCAGCCCTCTTATCACCAATGGCAGTGCTAGACAATGAACAAGTTATAAATGCTGTATTCAGATGACTCTGTGACTGCAGGAGGCTTGAGGGGGACAACAAGACATAAACCATAACACCCAGAATAAATCTAACACTCCAGTAGCCAGGGTTTTATCTCAGTGGCACAAGCACCTGCCTAGCTAGAGTGAAGTTGTAAGTTTGATTCCTGGTACCCTTCCCCCAGTAAAAGATAAAAATCCAGCTGTGTTCATGTGCCAGAGGACAACACCCTGACAAAGTATACTACCCTAAATTCAGAAAGCCCAAAGGGACAATTAATTCTCAAAATACATTTTATCACCCAATCAGGCCCTGAAATTTGGAAAAAAAATCCAAATAATCAAGACTGACCCTTAAACACCCCCAAAAAGGGAGTAATCTCCCAGGAGTTCAAGGTCTGTAATAACTGATATGATGCTACCCACCATCAGAAGATGGCCTTCCTGGCCACTGTACTCATGCTCTCGAAGCCCTAAAAATCACCCTCCCCCATGCTCTGATAACCTTATACTCCCTTCTCGACATCTGAGCTCTCCTCAGCTCCTCACATGTCCCCCACCTACCGCCTGCCCCATGACTCACACAACTCCATCCTCTCTTCTGTGAGACCCTCACCATTACCTCAGCCCCAGGCCCTCCCTTCAATCCAGCAGATGCCCTAATTTCACTGCAAACAACAGATAGAAACTCCGGCCCTCCTGGGAACATGACCTCCCCTTCCTCCTGCAGTTACACAGCAAGCTTTCCTCACATTTCAGGCCTTCCTGTACCTAAGCCACAGCACATCTGGCTCAGAGACTGCAGCTCCAGCAAGGCCTCCACCAGGCTGACTTCTGATGACTCATGGGGTGGAGGTGGGCTTGTGTTCCTGGTTCTGCCCCAGCTGACACAAGCTCTGCTGGTTCATGGGGGTGGGGTTTGGCTTCCTGGAAGAACCTATTCTTAAAGAGGCTGCTGAAGCAGCCGAGAGTTTTGCAGCTGACACTTCAGACCACAATGTTTCCAGATCTACAGAAGATGCAGACCCTGAATAACACTCACAGAGAGTAGAATGGAGCATTTCAATTCTTGTATTTCAGGAGGAAAGAAAAAGTATCCAGTTAAGCCAGTCAATTATGATGGAGTCACAGACATAGCACAAGAAGAGTAGGACAACACTGTATTTTCAGATCACCCCTTAGAGGCCTTCTGATGACAATGAGCTGGGCAGAAGTGAGGACAGCCTTCTTGACCATGCAGCTTATACTGAAGTCTGCACGGGATAGAAGAACTCAGTTATTGAAACCTGGGGCAGGCCTCACACACTGTTACCAACCTTGTGTTACAGCCTTCCAGATCTGTAACAACTAGGACCAGATAGAAGAGGCAAAGAAGAAGAAGAAATAAATATGTATGTGTATATATATATATATATATTCAGCTTTTTGCTTTTATTCAACAATAACCTTGGGGCTGGGGGTTTAGCTCAGTGGCGTAAGCACCTGCCTTGCAGTCGTGAGTTCGATCCCTGGTACCAATAAAAAGGAAAAAGAAAAAAAAAAAAAAAAAGAAAACAATAACCTCAGGAGAAATCACAATACTCTCCACAAATGGACTCAGCAAAAACTGGGAGAAATCAGTGAATGTGCTGTCTAAATCTATGGCTTCCACTTGGTCTTTTCCACACTGTAAAGAGTAGACCTCACTTAACGGGTTGTGGAAACAATGTGGAGATTCTAGCAGGTACAAACTGCACATGTTCCAATTGTCTGTTCCACAGCTGGGAAACAACTGCAGGATGGGTTCAGGCTGTGGCCAAAACCTCATTGATCAGCAGGTCTTCATAGGGCCTGAATTTTGCTGCAGGGCTACAATGGTAGTTTTTGGTTTTGTTTTTGTTTTTTAATCTACAGGAATCAGTTGTAATTCAGAACCAGTGTCCAGTATTTCCCCAAATATCCGATCGTTTCTTTCCCTAAGGGCAGTCACGAGAAAGAGAACTCAAGGTCCATTTAGGGGAAGAATGACACACTGACAGGATGCACTTTTTGGTAGCTCACCAGGATGCTTCTCCCTCAGGGGACACAGAACTTGGCCCTTTCAAGGAAATCTAAGTCTTCATTCTAGCTGAACTCAGGAGAGGCCATGAGTCCCCATCACTCTTATCTCAGGTTATTTTTTGTTCATTTGTCATAAAATTTTGCTTCTTATATGAATCCAGTAAGACTTTAATAGGCTTCCTTTCCATGTGACTTTGGAACACCATTGCTAATCATGGAGGGCAAAGGTCTATGAGTGTCAGATCATTTTGGTCCTTGCTTTATTTCTGCTCCTTATTATGGTGAGTGCGCAGAGCTGGCTTTTACAGTTGAGAATGGCACTTGGCCCCTATTACTCTGTGATCCAGTTAAACCCATCACATTTGGGGTCCCCGACTGAGCAAGTCTCCATCTTAAGGTAGGGCACACCAAGATGAGCAATAACAGGGCTCTTCCTGAATGCTAGCACTTTCCTCAAAATCTATTTCTTACTTATTAGTGCAGAGCACATTTTGTGGTCCTCTCAGTGTCAAGGAATACATCTTACCTGGGAAATTCACTCCAGAATCCCATTTCCTTGAGGTTTTGAGAGCCAACAATAAACTGGGAGTATTGTGCCTTTCTAGCTCACTCAAACTGGGCCATCTTTGAACCACACTTCTGCCAACCAGGAAAATAAAACATTAATACAGTTTTCTTTGCTCCATGAGCTGAAACATTAAATTCAGAACCCCTAATTAAGATCCCATACCAAGAAAATCAGCCTGATCTAAAACCCAGAAGTGTATTTCTCCTGCCATTATTCCACATCTTTAAAATCCTCCGCTATGCATGTTTTTCACACCTCAGCTTCTCAGACTTAGAAAACTCACGAAGTTCTTTGGGAGCATTGTTACCTCATGGGTCATTGTGCATCTAACTTTGAGGAGCCTGCTGAGGTTTCAACCTGGTTACAGATGTAGTAAAAGAGGGTGGAGCCTGTGTGTTGTCAGCATTTATTCCTTGGTAACTGCAGCAGGGATGGTCATTTCCTAGTTCATAGGCAACAGGTGTTATTTTCATATATTTTGATTAACAATGACATGGAAAATTTGATTAAGTACTGCATGAGTTTTCTCTCAGATGTGTGAATTTATATGACATCCAACTACAAAGTACTAAGATAGTCTATCATATATATATATATATATATATGAGTGTGTGTGTAATTATATTATATTATATTATCAGAAACAGAAGAGAAGTCTACCACAGGTGGTGAGGATAGAGTATCCTGTGCCACTCTTCCTCTAGTAGGAAAGTCCCACTGGGACATAGGAGCTCAGTGACTCCAGTGTTATCCAGTTCCTTCCAAACATTGCCACCCCAATGCAACCCCACAGGCTACTGAAGCACATGTTCAAATAGCAGTCACATTAACCCATCTCAGCACCAAATCTGTCTTTGTTATTTTCCTGCTGCTAAAGAAAAACATTTGACACCCAAAACTTAAAGGAGAGACTTATTTTGACTTGAGTTTTTTGAGGTTTCAGCCGATAGATCAATGTGTCCAGGTCAGGGCAGTAGGACCATCCTGTAGGGATTGGCAGAGGGCAGCTCCTCTGTGCTAGGTGTCCAGGAATCCAAAAGTGAATGGAGAAGTTGGGCTGTTGATAAAACTCACATGCCCACTCCCAGGGACCCACCTCTTCTGACCAGGCCCTAGCCCTAATTTCAAATCAGATCTACATATCTGTAGTCCAGAGCTGAGGGTAAGCAGTGCTTTCATCCAGAATTATGTCTTCTGCAATAAAAGGGAGAGATCTGTTACCTGTCGGCCTTAGGAAATGAGCTCCCTGTTCCATGAGCACTGTCCAAAGAGGGGTGAAGAGCACAGCACAGCGACCCAGCAGTCCTATCCACAGCCCAGGCCCTGAGCCAGTCCCACTGCAGACCTTGGGATCTTTCCTGCCAGGGAAATTCCTCCAAAACTTTTCAGTTCTGTCCCTGGTCTGTGCTGTCCTCTCAGAGGATCTGAGGACAGGATGGGTGAGAATGGGGAATGCGTGGCTGTCCACCTAGGAGAGGGATCACCAGGGTCTAATGCTCAGGGGGCTTCCCAGGCCCTCACACAGGGGCACCTCATTCACACGGAGAGAGGAAAACAACCCCAGAGGGACCAGGAGAGTCAGAGACGGCAGCACAGAGCAGAGGGGTCAGGATGCTCAGGAGAGGACCGGGGCAGGGGAGGCGGGGAGCAGGGAAGGAGGGAGGAGGAGTCAGAGAGGAGCAGGCAGAGGCCAGGGCAGCCTGGGCAGGGAGGCTGTGTACAGAGTTGGACCTTGATTAGGGACAATGGGGAGAAGTGAGATGGGAAGCATCAGAGAGAATGAAGAGTCCCCACTACTTAGTATGGCTCTCTGTAAAGAGAGAGGTAAAGCAGTGTAACATGCAGTGGTGAAATTCACTCCACACCAGTCCCTGCTGACCACTTTCCTCTGCAGGAGAAAAGCCATGGTGTGTGCAGTGGGGAGAGAGCCCCACAGACCTGGGGATTCAGGGCTTCAGGAGCTGGGGGCGGGGGAGCTCTAGCCATGGCTCATAGGTGTATCAGGTCCCTGTGGGGCTCTGGAGCTGCTGTCTGAATTAGGGAGGTGCAGCTCCTGCTCCTGACCATCCAGACCCCACCCTGGTGCTCAGGGGATCTCTCTGCAGCCAGACTCTCTCTTGGAGGTACTATGTATGGATCTGGGATCCTCTGTGGCCAGGTTTGCATCCTGATGCTGCTGGGAAGGGAGGGGTTTCTAATAGCAAGGCTTATGGTGGTCATGGCACTGCTCACACAGGAAACCCGGGCCTGCTGCTCCCTGTTGCTCCTTGGTTGCATGGTGAGTGGCTCTGCTTGGCTCCTGCTCTGACCTGACTGGGGAGGAAAACCGAAGCACCAACTGACCATGACCTTCAAACCTCCAGAACTAGGAGATAAAATCAAACTTTTGCTTCACAAAACTTGGTAAGGCAGGCATTTGTTAAGGCAAAGCAGTACCTACACCCCTTGTTTCCTCACTCAAGAGTTTTCTCTTTCATCCTCTCCCCTATCAGTGTACTGGTGCTCACATAACTCCAGGCGCAGCACAGGTCCAGCATGAAGAAGCCCTCTTCCTGGTTCACAGGCATCTTACGCATTATTGGGCAAAACCTTTCCTCTCACACTAGATTCCCACAGAGTTGAGGTGGCAAACATGAGATCACTTTAAATCTTACCCTTCGCTGGCCCTGAACCAAAGCTGGTAAATTCCTGATGCTGTTGGTTTCAAACAGTAGCTTAAAGAGATGTCTTCTATGGTCTGCTGGCCATTTCAGAACTTGGTCAGTGAAATGGTCAATTCATTAGAAAGAAACAGCTGAAAGCAGCCCCTTCTCCCCCTGGTGAGCAGCTGTGAGCCTGGCAGGCTCAGGCAGCCCAGGACAGGAGCTTCCAGCATTAACTGGGCCTCATGCCATGCTGGGACTTGGTGTGCTAGGAAACCAAGCAACTCCTGCCCTCCATGAGCAGCTGTGAGCCTTCCGACTCCTGGGCTGAGAATCAAACATCACACCCTCCCACCCCATTAGCAAGTGAGAGCCAGTGATCTGGACATCCCTTGAGAGGTTGACCATAGGCAATGTAGCAAATAAGGGGGATTTCCTTCTATCATCTCTTTGAAGGCAAATCCTTTCATCCTGTTTTGCTTTGTTCTAATTAATGGTATTATTTTAGCCTATTGGTTTTGTTGAACTTCAATATACATGAAAGTATGGTCAGCTATTTTGAGGAGAAAGAGAGACTGTACGACAACCATTAGTGACTTTCCTATTGCCTGGTTTTGAAGACCTAAAACGTCTTTCTCATTCTTTTCAGATCAGTTTTATACTGTGTTGTTTTGTATGAATTCTCTGTATGCGAAGACATGGACAACTATTTGGAAGAAAACAAGAGACAATATGATAAATAGTAAAGATCTCAGGACATCTATCTTTGAAATTTGTATCTCTTACATTGCTTTCTTATGCCCTATTTTGTTCTATTTTGTTGTGTTTAATTTTACCCTCTTTAAAATTAAAGAAAAAGAAAAGAATCTTTCCCTCCACAATTACCTGCATATCTCCCAGCTTCCTTCAGACCTGCAAGCAGATGGAGACAGTAAAGTCAGCAGAGTGAGGGGGCAGCAGGGCAGCTGTAGGGAAACGGGGTGTGGGGTATCATTGGTGAGAATCAGGACTGTACTCACCGTTATTTACAAAAAGTTTTCTTTGTTCTTCAAACAATCACACAGAAATATTTTGATGACACACAGACTGAATTTTCATTTTTTCCCTGAATTTTCATAGGAAAGAAAAGAGAACTTACTAAGTTCGTTACTGATTCTCTATAAAAAAAAAAAATAGACAATGGCATATACATTTTTGAAACACCCAGGCATAGCCTTTGTCATCACATAATCTGTAAAACATTTGGGAAGATCTACTCAGCTTTATGGAATATGAAGCAGATCGACAAGGGCCAGATGTCCAAGGTTTCCATGTGGGAAGCCGCTGACCTTGTTAAATCACACAATCCTTAAGGCTAGTTCTATTTGAGTCCTACAACTAACACAAGCAGCCTGTTAAAGCGAAATTTTTACTCCACTAGATCAGTTTATATCCTCAGGACATTCCTGAGGTAACTGCAAATATTTCCTCTCTGCACAGCAAACATTTACCATGGTCCTGCCAGTCCTGCTCTAGCCTGGAGCTGCCTGTGCACAGGGACCTCAGGAAGAGCCAGGTTCAGGCTCTGCTCTCCCAGGGCCTCTGCAGCCCTCATTACAGTCCAGGGGCTGGGAGCACCATGGGGCACAGAGCAGAAAGGGGCCTCAGCATCCTGGAGAGGGAGTTTGTTTGTGCTCTCTGTTACTGCTTCATTAAAAATACTATTTCTGAGAAGAAAAACCGGTTTAATATACTGGTAAAAATCAGTGAGAAGAAAAAGCATTTCACATTTTCCTTTACCTACATATAACCACTTAAGGCATCTTACATCTAGATCCAAGATATTTTTATTCTACAATAAATTATCTAAAAATTCTTCCTCTTTGTCTGTCACAATCATTTAAGTGCTAATTGTAATTACTGGTTCATAAAAATCAGCAAATATCATTAAGTATCACTGAATAGCTAAATGATGTTTCTTTCTATTGCTAATATACTTTTGCTTTCCTGCCAGTCATGTAACAGAGTTTTTCCTTATTACAATAAGGAAATAATATATATTTAAAATTTCCTCTGGTAAAAACAAAGATATAAAAACTGGTCTAATGAGTAATAAAAATACAGAGGTAAATAGTCTGTAAATATAAAAATCTAAAGTCGAAGCAACAAATTAAAAAGTAAATGAAGCATACAACCATTTTTTTGATTCTATGTCACACAAGACCTGGTCCCATTATAAGGGGGGTCCTATGATGTGCTATAGATCATTACTCTAGGAGAAAGAGTAGGAGCCTGGGCCTGGTGCTTAGGACACAGTGGTCTCCATGTCAGGAGGGGTAAGTGTCTGCAGATGCACGGCCAAAGGAGGGCCCACCCTCCACCTCCTCCCCACCTGCTCCCTCTCATGCCCCACCTTGGATCCCGCCAGGCCCTGACTCCAGCCTCACCAAAGCACTAGGATGTTTTGTCTCCTCCTCCACCACCTCAGTAAAAGTTCTGAGTCTCCTGCAGTCACTGCTCCCTCAGTGAACTCTAACTCACAAGTCAGTGGATTCTATGATGAAATCCTGATGAAGCCCAAACCATGTGATTATACTGCTAAACCTCCCTCTACTCAAAATCCTGGCATATTTTTCACTAATATTTAATATAAATATGCAGATTCTAGGTTTGGCCTGCTGTGGTCTTCACAATCTGCCTTCTGTCTAACTCTCCTATCTCATCCTGCTCATCCTTCCCTATAATTCATGTTGTTATTTTTAGAATCAGACATAGGAGAGAACAGTACATTATTTTACTTACATATATATCATCATGATAAACTACGTACTTATCTAGCATATGGGATTTCTTTGATAAATGAAGATAAAATTATGATGGAAAAGATGTTATCCTTATTAGAATTTGTTCATATGACTTGGTAATTTAAAATAGTTAAATGATTTTCTTCTATAGCTGTGGTTTTATTTTATAGTGAATTTCAAATTTCCTTTACTGAAAAGTAGAAGTAATTCAGTTCTAGGAAAGGATTTCAGCATAATTCTTGGAAGGATCAACATATGCTTGCAGAGATTTCAGATTGGGATTAATGTGGTTAATGATGAATTCAGTCTGGATGGAGTCGGTTGGCTAAGCTGATTTAGATAAACTTCACATTTAATCAGTACATTGTCTTACAGGAGATTTGCTCAAAGAGAAAGTGAAATTAAAATTAGACCAGTGAAATTTAAAATTAGACCAGGGAGTGAAATTTAAAAATTAGACCAGAAAGGCAATGATGCAAATTGATCACATTCCACTGACTATGGTGATAGAATCCTGGACCACATAATTGGTGTTTGCCACTGAACTGAGATGGCCTCTGACCTTGGGCTGTCATAGAAATAGGAGCCCACTGTCCTTCCTCAGGGTCACAGATTCAGCCCACAACATTTCCTGGGAAGATCTCATCTGTGTATTTAGCTTCCTAACAGAAAGTGACCAATTTAAATATAAAATGCCAAGCTGACCCCACAGTTCTTTGAAAGCACATCTGAAAAGCAAGCAAAAAAGTAATTTGGAGATAACAGTGAACCTAGGGTTAAAATAAGTATTAAGTAGTTATTGTATTAGTCCCCATGTGTAAATTAATGATTTAGGGCAGGTGATATTGGTAATAATTAACATTAAAGTTAGAAATACATGCTGGTTTAGTACTTTAGCTTCAACAAGCATGTGAGAAAAACAATGTTGACTCCCATGAGCCTTTGTTTTGTATAGATTTCAGTGGGTGAATTTGATCTTTGAGGAGAAACTAAATGAACCTTATGTGGATATGCAAGAACAACTTTAATTTTACAGGAGTCCAGATGCAGGTATAAAAGCAACTCTTTTCCAGGCTCACCATCTGCACAAGTGCTACCAAACACTTCCTTCATCTGAGTCAGGTGTTTAGATGAGTTACAGTTTAGCCCTGAGTGTAGCTTTGTGTCAGAAACAACAGCATCATGCCCACATAGGAAGTCAAATATAAAATCCAGGTGGTTAATACCTTGGTTCCTTTTGAAGTTTCTAATTATTACAGATTTCACTTAAACCCAGATCTGCACTATCAGTCTGGAGCTGGTTATCCTGAAAGTGAGGACAGATGTCACTTATGTTGCTCCACATTGAGAGAAAGTGTGGCTGAGTGAATTAACATAGGAAAGGAAAATGCCAATCACAGCAATTCCTCTTTCTCAGCCTGTTTCCATTAAATGGACTGCACTCTATGTAATTTGTATAGCGGTTTGGAGGCCAAAATAAAATGCTGTATAATTACACAGGGATGGAGATTTAGAGTGATTTATTCAGAATGTCCTTGTCACCGGGGATTCCTTCTTACTTTTCTCAAAGTTTTCTCGCTTGTGAGGGAATTTCTTTTTTTTTTTTTTTTTTATTTAAGAGGAAAAAGAGAAAAACACAAAACAAAACAAAGCAGTGTAAGGTTACACATAATACAGAACTACAAAAAAAAATAACAGTAAGAAATCACCTGTTAATAGATTACATATTATCATCTTGGAAATAGTTGCTCAAATCACAGTATCAAAGAATACAAAGTAGACATTCAAACAGAGATACTGCAAACAGCTGTGTTCAATGATCCAAAAACATTAATATAGTCAGCTATTTAACACCCCTAAACACACTTGCTGTTATATCCGTTAAAGCTCTTTTTTTTTCCTCCCTCTCTTTTTTACAACAAAATTTACACATTTTGGATTTTATTACTCCTTAGTTCTTATTACTTTTTGGGGGGGAGAGAATAAAGTCAAATATAGCAAAACAAAGCTGTCAGTCAAAACCAAGGATAGACATAGCACATGATGTAGAACAGAGTACAAGGTTATTAACAATGGTTATCAACGTTGTCTCTTGTTTCCTTAAAAAGAATTGTCTATCTCATTAGATATTATAAAGTTGGACAAAACAGTAAAGAACAAGACCAATAAAACTTAGGCATTGTAAACATTACAGGACTTCCAAAGAAGACAATAGTCAAACCAGAATGGGCATCTTTGTGAATCTTATTGCCTTCAAAGTAGTTGCCTATACCCTCAAACTTCATACTATCGCACAGAATGGAACAGAGTCTAATCAGTCAAAACAAGATCGTGGGAGTATTACAGGACTTCAAAACAAGTTCATAGGAAATCAAAAAGAGTTACTATTATATATCCTAATTTTTTAAATTTTTCCCTTAATTAAAATAAACATAAGAAATAACTAAATAATTTTTTTAAAGAATAGTAGTTACCATAGTGTCTGTCTTTTTCCTTGAAATATTTGGATAAAACTTCATATACTATAGCTTCAAATATTTCCATATCAAGAAGCCCAGAATAAAGCCTTTCTAATTAATAAGTGAAAATTTTATAAGGCTTCAAGGCCACATAATGGGGAATCATGTGAGGGAATTTCTTATTCTCCTGGGGAAAAAAACACCTTTCTTTCTGAGATAACCATAGGCTCATTGTATGTTTGCCACCTAGACAGATTTGTCTGAAGTTGATCAAACCTCTCATGGCGGTGCAGTGCCACATTTCCTGGTGTTTAACCCACTTTTCTTTTCTCATCAGTCACCTGGCTAACATGGGTCTCTTTTGCTAGCACCACAGATCACTATCCAGAATGCAGGCTGATTCTGCTTTGTTCATTCTGCTCCTCTCCTTCATGTGTAAAGCCTTCATCAGCTCTGAGCTCAGACCTGTTCCCAAGGCCTCGGCCAAGTCACTCCTGACCTCCAGCTCTTCTCTCACTGTTGGCTCCAGC